TGTTCCAGTCGAGAGCGCCTCGGGTCATCCTCGGTATTATTTCCACTGTGATTTTTATACGATGAAGCTATCGAAAACACGACAAATGAATCACCGGCCATTTTATGGTTCACTAGATTTCTCTGGCGTTTTCTGTGGAAAGTAATAAAGAGGGTGAATTAAATAAGTTGTGTTTCCTTGGGTTGTTCGAGTGTTACAGTCGGTTCCAAATAGGCCTGGCAAGACTCCAGTCGTGAAAAGTCGTGAGTTCGTTAAGATTCCAGATCTTCCTCACTAAATGTGCCTTCCTTGTGGAATTTCATTAAGCTTAAGACTCGTGTCTTACAGATTTCTAAGACTTTTCGTTTTTCAACAAATGCCTTTGTATTCCGTACCATCATTATTAGAAATTAGATTCTGCTTGTAGATTTTCTTCGTTAGAACATTAAATTGTTTAACTTTTAGCAATTGAATATAATTCAAATATATAAAAAAAATATACGTATTTATTTCGATAGTGTGGATATGGTATTTCCGACTCGTCCTTGACTTGTTTCAGTTTACGAAAAATGCTATAATTACGGTGATGTCAACATTGATCAATAACAAATACATCTCTGTGTACGGTTTTCTGTACAACAATATCCTCTTTATCTCGAGATGACCGTTCCCAAGTGTTTACGTAATTGCTCTTAATTCAACGAACACTTGATTACACATAAGATAATTATTAAAGCTAAAATATTTATATAGATAACAAAATTCGTGTGAGATCATTTTAGTAATTTTTTATATAGTTTTCATTAGAAATATTAATATTTTTTTCTTAAATTAAACAAAATCGTTCCCGTGAATGTGAGATATAAACTTATTTTCTTAAATAGTATTGTAAGCCGACTATTTTTCCGATGAAAAACACGATCTTTATATTTAAGTTGTTGAGAACCGAAAGTTATTTTTATTCCACGGTGAGATTTAAGGCGGGCCAAACCTTGACAAATCTAATACACAGACGATTCCAAAACAATCTAATCAAAGTTCCTCGATACATATTATAGGTCAGAATTTAACGTAATAATAACTATTTATAATAATCACACTCTTTAGAAATACTAAAGCTTTGACAGAATTTTTTCCGTAGTTAATAGAATTTTTCTGTTTAAAAAGACTTAGCATCTCGTTTTATTCAGATTTTATTCAGTAAAAATAGAGTGGAATATTCCTGATTTTTAAAAATAAAGAATTGGGTTATTAAAAAAAAAAATATTTTTTAAACAAATAAGCTTAAATTTAAATGTTTCAAAAATTTTAAATAGTTATATGTATTTACTTGACTATTTCTATTATCTAATTATAGAGTTATTTTTGGCTATATTTGTATTACACCCACTTACTTTTTAGTACTCTTACTTAGTTTGAAACGTGTAATAGTTCAAATGTTTGATCATTTTATTTAATTTACTTGTTTTTATACATATGTACCTGAACGTAACTGCAATATTTAATATACTACGAACATACTATACAAATGAAAAAAAATATTGTAAAAAATACATCCGTCTAAACGACGGTTATTTTAACAGAAAAAAGACGTCTATTACATGAAACTACAGTTTTATTTAAAAAAAAAAATGTTTAAGTATATATTGTAGTAATTATCTAGTAAAAATCTTGACCAATTTAAATAATTAAGTATGTACTTTACATAGAGACTAATAGTTACTATTCGCGACTTCAATATGTTTCCTTTAAAACTAATTCAATGTTATAAATGTGTTCTCAAATAATTCTTTGTATCAAATCTATTGGTCTATTTCAATTGTTTTGCTCAAAACTTATCTACAACCGAGTCGTCAAAGCGTGATCTCATTTCTTGTACCCGTTCTTATCAACTACGAATAGTAAACATCTATCTATCGAAATATATATAAAGTATATATTGAATTTTCCGCAAAATATATACTAAATATGTGCTATTATTAATACAAATTGAGTTTGCGTTTCAAACAAAATAAATGTACACAACTTATTATTTCAATATAGCATTACGCGGGTATCGTTTTAAAATATTTATTATAGGAACACCTTATAAAATATTTGATCCTACATGATAGAACTTAAAATCCCGCAGCGATACTTCCAGTCGCGTCTCGACACGTCCTGAATTTGTAAAGTATACAGACTTGGAGTCTAGCTGTTGAAAGTGGTGATTTATACAACCGATCTGATACTCCTCACGTACAGACGCCCGGGATATGTCACGTTTGTAATATGTCTTTTTATTACTGCACTATAACCGCTCGCCGTGTTCATATTGCTATGGGACTGTTAAAAATTTAATTCTATATTCACATCGAATACATATAGATATAGATGATATAGATGTAGAATTTTTCGAATCATTGACGCGTCAGTGGCTGGGTATGAGAGTGACGTACGAGCCTTTAATAGGGCCGTTACACCTTCTCGTGATATATGTGGTTCGGAGTGCTTCTGTCACTTTAGTTCAGCGCAAAAAGCAAAAGATAAAAAAAGATACCGAAATACGATTTCACAAGTGGGCTGCCGGAAATGGATAGAATTTTTGCCGGTTTCGCCTTTTTATGCTTTGAAATATATCCCTAGTGATATACTTGTATACTTTGAGTTATATCCAACGCTTAATTCCAACGGAATATCGGACGTAATGCGTACCACAAATATTGTCTGATGATCTATTGTATGGGACGAGGAATTTTTTGCTACATTGACTTCTCTTTGAGTTTCTATATAAAAGATTATTATATTGCACCCTCCCTTAAATATATACACATAAAGTGATGTAAGACTTTCGCGAATATTCATTTAAATGAAACAAATATTGTTCGAGATTAGATCTCATCTGCCCGTGATCACGGTTGCTGTAAAGTAACCGAAACGTCGGGAGTATTTAGTTTTAAAATAATTAAATACGCGTAGTATACATACATTTATGTTTTTAACTACACAATTAATATAGTGTTGCCACGACTTTTAAGCCGCTTGCTTGAACTCAAATAGTTCCTAACTTAAGTATTCTTAAAACACTTTAATAAAATTTTTGATGAAAGAATAATTAGTACATTATTCAATAGCGTGATCCTTTCGGCCTCACCTTTGGCATTGTACGTTTGAACTTTGACCCCGACCGAACCCAACCCTAGCTCACCTTCTCCGATTTAGTAACCCTTAACATTATTGGCTGGTGATTTAATATATCCAGCTATCAGTACTTTGATTGGTGCCAATGTAATAAATCCTCTATAGAAATACGTTAAATATAATGATTAGAAGGTTCGAAGTATTCAAAATTATTTAACAATTACAGTCAGCAATGTATGAAAATAAAATAATTGAACCAATAACTTAAAATATCTCAAATTAACGTTGTGAGAAAATTAATAAAGTTACAGTATTTCGCTTGATCTTGTATTAAATTAAAAATCACTAATACCTTATGATATCTAGACTTTCGCGAGTATTAATTTAAATGAACTAATGTTATTCGGATTACTACATATGCTGAAAAGTAACGAAACGTTGGGAATACGTGGTTTTAAAATAATAAAATACGAGTAGTAAACCGAATAATATTAGTTTCACTAATACGTTGTCATGGAGAAAACTTTTTTACCGCATATAGAAATAAATCATCCAGAATTCATAAGAAATAGTAAAGTTTCAAAACAATATAAATAACATGTTCCTAGGTTTAACAAAAAAAAAACTTCCATAAGTTTAATTGGAGAAATTGAAATATTAGAGACCTTTAAAAAAGTATCTTTAGTTATAGAAAAATAACTTTTAGAACAGCGTAACAACTGAACATTTACTTAAGACATGATATTTCACTGTAATTAATAAATTATATTATTTATTGTACACGAAATTGGCCCCAAACATCTCCGATTGTTTCAAGAATCGAAATTTCAGACATGCTTTCTTTTATAGCCGATACAAAGAAATTCTTCTGCGTTTGGTGTATTAACAAAAAGGTCATATGTACAAAAACATAACTAAATACTTAAGAATAAGTATATTTTTTAACTTTAATAATTATTAAATGATTTTACAGCATCGTCTTTGTAGAAGAGCGTAACCTCTAAGGAAGAGAAGTTAGAAAATTTAATTTAAATTTATTCCTTACTTTTGAAGATGCTCTCAACAGGAGACTTGAAACATTTTATTTACGTTTATAGATAGATGAAACGTATGCTCGCGTTATGTATACATAGTAGTATGAGCAATTATAATATTTGTTTGATTGTATGTATAATTACGATTCATAGAATACAATAACATGATTTAATTATTCTATACCTATAGTTATCGTCTTCTAGAATGTTCTCAAGAAAAAACACGCGAAAATCTTACATGTTACATTTATAGGAATCATTATTTGTTTCAATTATTTCAAACACTATTACTATTAGGAATACGAATTAAATTTGATAAATCCTTTTCATTCTAAGTTAATAACATTCTTCTTCTACCTGGCAATTTCCCAGCTTTAGCCAGGGTCTGCTTTACATGATGAAATAGTTTTGGCTAATTGTTTTTACGATAGGCCGCCTGCCTGTCATCAACTCTCTTTAGGAATGCTTCATCAGTGATGTCTAAATGTTCTTAGAAAGTACATATGACTCAGAAAAATCACATTGGTACTTGCCACGATGGAACCCGCGCCCTCACGCATGAGAGGCGGGCCTTTTAACCACTAAGCTACCATTGACTTTCTAAGTTAATAATATTATTTTAAACTTAAATAGATTTTAAATATCCATAAAACTATTAGTTCTCAATAAGTTGAAGTAATAAATCTAGTTACGACTATGACCACTACTATTGTAATAAAATTTCTACATTCAACGATCCCACTGAAATGGAATCTAGTATGAACACTAGGATTTTATAAGTTATCTCAAAATGAACAGCGAGTGTTACAATGGAAGCCGGGTCAAGTTTTAAATGCAATATCACTGCGTTTACGATACAGTTGTAAAATGTCCTTTTACAGATCGAGTATGGAGTTGAGGACGGCGCTAGTGCTGCTCTCGTTGCTGTTTTATGTGGACGGATATTCGAGTGAGTATCTATATATATAAAAATGAATTGCTGTTCCTTGGTCTCACTAAAACTCGAGAACGACTGAACGGATTTATCTTATCATAGTCTTGAAATGTTCGTGGAGGTTCAGGGAAGGTTTAAAAGCTGAAAATTGTTTATTAATTTCCGGGAAAACCCTAAAAACAGCGTTTTTTTATTTCCCATACAAACGGTTTTTTGACATTAGATTTGATAACTAACTAATTTGTCAATCATTTTGTCGCACTTCAGAACACGGAGATTTATGGCTTAAAGGTAAACACCAAAAAAATAAATAAGACATAATTTATTTCTTGATTGAGGCAGTACGAAGTCTGCCGGGTCAGCTAGTATACATATAAAATTTTGTACAACATTGTGTATAACTATGTAAGATTTATAAAAATTCTGTACGTTTTAAAACAAGCTTGGTGTTACTTGCTTTCTACAGTGTATGTAATGGTAACTAGGTATAAAGTTAACTAGGTTAAGTGTCAAGCCTTTTTCCTTTCATACGTTTATTTAATGATGATAATCATTAACACACACATATACATTCTCACACACACACAGACACCCAATCTATTGTTTTAAAATATTCTTCTTACATAGATTAATACAAAGTTCAATACATATCCATGGATTTAGTTATAACGAAAACATATTTCTCATAATACATTCTATATATATGAAATATAACAAATCTTATCAACAAGACCGACGGATATTTTTACTTATCCTTTTGTAAACAGTCAGAGTATAATATATTTCCTGTTATTAGCCACTGCGGTCAATCTTGTTTGACCTCTGGAGCGACCTTCGTATATACGTCTGTATAGTGTATACAATATTACTGCTACGTACTTCTAGCATTATCGTTACATCTACATATTACTTGTGTATTGTATATGTGTTGCGATGCTATAGAAAAAACGAATTTGGAACTTAGAATCATATTAAATACTAGCTGTGCCCGCGACTTCGTTCGCGTGGAGTAGCGAATATGAGCAGCGTTTTTTTTTAAATATATACTTACTTTTATTTTGGATCATAATCACAGTCATTTTGGGTAGTTCATTTAGTTATGTATGTATAAGCATAGAATAGTGTTCGACGTGATTCTTTAATTTGACATAACTTTTTTATTTATGAACCGATTGACATGAAACAAACACTAAAGCATAACTGAAGCATACCACAATATATTCGTGAAAACCTCATCCAACTCGGATCAGCCGTTTCTGAGATTAGCGTGAACAGACAAACAGACAAAAAAAAGTTAATTACATTTTTGGGTTCGACATAACAATAGCCCCTGCTATTTTTTTTATTTTTATTTTCAATGTATAGACAGCACTTTTCTACAATTTTATTATATGTATAGATTAAAGAGAAGTTAACTTTTTGATGTTGTGGTCGAGATTTCGGGCTTTAAATTCATATATTGATGTCATATAAATTTGCTTTATAATTTAATGTCATTTTTATTTTATTATTTAAATACCGTAGCCATTGTTTCTTTTTTATAAGAATTTTGATCTAGAAATGAATCACACTTATGTAATTAAAAGGTGTCTTTGTTTGTTTGTTTCGCTTATACACGTTAGATGTAAAAGCAAGACGCAAATAACTTTAGATTTTGAATGTACATTTAACAGAAATATGATAAATCAGATATAATATTTTACATTAAGACATATGTACATATACAGTTCTTCCTTGAAATCATGGCTATTATTTCCCGGCTTTTCCATAATCGGGTTAAAACAAAATTAGTATAGATTATACTGACGCAAATGACATCTCCGTAATTAATAATGATAAATTGACACGTAATTATTATCTGATATATAATTAATAGTTAAATTAACTATAGATAATTATTAATAAATCTAAAATATTAACAAATAAATAGATTGAAAAATTGTTTAAGGATATTGCAAGCTGTAAAATACGAAGTTATTTTTTTTTAACTTAATTGCTTAAATATTAGCTGACCCGGCGTTGTTTTGCTATATAAAAAAATAGGGGTGGGTGATAAAAAAGTAAAAAATTTGGTTTGTATATATTTTAATGTTACATTATAAAAAAATAAAAACAAATTACGTCCGAAAAACAAATTAACGGTGAACAACCCTTATGACTTAGGGGTATGAAAAATAGATGTTGGCCGATTCTCACAAAATTTCATCAAAATCGGAGCAGCCCTTTCGGAGGAGTTCTCTGTCTAACACCGCGACACGAGAATTTTATATATAAGATAATACAAAAGACATACATGAAAGCCCTTATGACGAGTTAAATTCTATATTTCCATACGTTTTCATGAGATGCATTACATTTGCACTCACGTACGATCGTAACAGTAAACTCCATCAACGTATACACATAAACCTCTTGTAATACAGACAATGGAATGTATGAAATTTTATTACAACCATTATATACAAAGCCATTAGGGGTTAGGGTTTTTAATTTTTTGTATTGATGTAAAACATGGACTGCAACTTACTAGGTCGTACTATGTAAGTGTTGTGCAATGCTTCTGATATTGATTTGTTAAAGATTTATACGAACACACATACATATATACGCACACAAACAAACATGTATGAACAATAATTTTAAATGACGCTTAGTTATCCTATGTATAAACATATCCTTCCCATAGCAGCGAATTAATCAGAAGTTCCTCTCAATAAAAAAAATATTCAAGCTAATTAATAATGAATGTTTAAAGAATAATATAAAAGCATATTGGTGCCGTCTCGTGTATAATCCTACTCAGGGACGCTTAACGTAAATCTACATTCTGTAAACAAAAGTCTCGGTATCTTTTAATACTCCGCAATCCCAACGAATTAAGTGTAAAAAAAACCACTGCTAGAGTATACGGATAACCGGATTATATCGGTTTTCAGTGGCTTTAATTGAATTAATTTTATAAAAAGAGCAAATTATACAAAAAAAATATATAAAATGTAAAAGTTCAACGAATATTTTTGAGTGTTTCATCTTGGGAATATTACTTTTCTGTCGTGGAAGAACAAAACATAGTCAAAATGTTTGCTACAACTAAAATGAATACATATTTTCAGTAACTGCGTTAAAGTAAACTTTTTTTATATATAAAATCGGTAAAAAGCCACAAATACTGCTTTTTGGAAAACTGGATAAGATGTAATTTGACATTTTACATCCCAAACTAAAATAATTTTATATATTTTTTTTGTTTGTACGTATGTACGTAGTTGTCTAAAATTCATCAAACAAAATCGGTTTAATTTAAATAATTGTTTTAAAGTAATTTGTATTAACTCAAAATAAATGAGATTTTAGTTCCTTACAATTTACATAAAAGCAATAAAAGAATATCTTCATAGTGAGAAACAAAATAACTACAGTATATATCACGATATTAAATATAAAAATCAAATTTTCCGTTCCATATATTGATTCCTAAAATATTGAAATAGAATTTTGTTACCGCAATATCTCTACACGAAACTATAGTTAGATTAAATTTAAATAAATTATTCGTATATTTTAATAAGCGGCCTAAAAGTTATTACTATGCATATATGATATGGAAACTAATTGAAACTTGTGTTTGCCTCAAGTCTTTGTTTGCCATCGTCCGGATGCAAGAACGGAAGCTTCGTAGCGTTTATTAGAAACTATAAACGACCTGATACAACGGATTGTTTATCTAATAGTAACATATTATAATAATATATGAAATTTATTATACATAAGTATATATACAGGGTGACTGGTGAATTACTATCAATATTTTAGGAGAATACTCGGTACATGATTCTCATTCGAATTATGTAAAAAAAATAGGTACTTAATTTTTGACCAAATTTCCGTATAAATAAATATAGTGTTGACACGTTCCAAGTGTTCCAAGTGTGGACGCGTGCGGCGGCGTGCTGATACAACACCACGCAGCCGCGCGCGAGTGTGTGTGTGTATACCTAATCTGTAGGGTGTTCACACAATGCGTAATTAATTACATAACTGTTGGTTAACTTTACTCAGAAGTTTATTAATATTTATGTTATATTAATTTTTATTTTGTCATATATGATCGTCAAATATCACGTCCTCAAGTATCGATAGTAATTCACCAGTCACCCTGTATATTATTTTTTTCTAAATAGTCAAACCTCTTCAGTCATGTATTTCCCTTAACCCTTCAAAGTCTCATCTCAAATCGCCATTCTATAAAAATTCCTTACGCTCAGGCACGTCTTGGAAGTCTTTCAAAGTAGTTTTTAGAATGCAACCCTACTTTTGACCCTTAAATCAAAGTATACTACTGAAATTCAATATAATGTCTTATTCGTCTAATCCCTACTAATATTATAAATGCGAAAGTAACTCTGTCTGTCTGTTACGCTTTCACGCCTAAACCACTGAACTGATTTTAATGAAATTTAGTACAGAGATAGAGTTGACCTTGAGAAAGGACATAGGATAGTTTTTATCTCACACTTTTGAAAGGTTCTCTTCGAAACGCGATGTAACCGAACTCCATGCGGGCGAAGCTGCGGACGGAAAGCTAGTTTTATATACATCTTCGTGATTATAACACAGTGCAACCTTATAACGCACCTCAATATAACGACTTTTTCATTTAACATTTTCTTCGTAATACCTTGAATTGTCCCTAACACTCAATACAAAATATACTTTTACGTTGTTCAACCTTTTTATAACTATTAAGAAAGCATAAAGCATACATACTTCCAATTTCGATACTCCTATGTTCGTAAAACAATAATTGTTGTTAAATGGAAAGTAATGTAAACATTTCTGTTCGTCACTATTGTTAAAAATTTAAGTTAAAATAAAACTATTTTTTTTTTTCCTTTTATAACCAATTTTAGACTAACCAAACCTCAGTACTACCAACTACTTAATATAACCAATATTTTAAGTTCTCCTCTGTTTTGTTATATCGTGGTTACACTGTATCTTATTATTATTATATTCCTTCTTACAACACATATATAAATATTTTATATTTGACCGCAATTTTTATGTCTAACACTCAAAGAGTAACTGATTGAAAACTCTTGACATGAACGATTCCTTGTACATTATTAGATTTTATCGTTCCTTCTATATTCATACATTTTAATATTTCTACGCGAGCAAATAAAATATTATAAAAAATGAAATAATGTTAAAGTATAGCAAAATTATTAATCAACGTTTTAATTTGATGAATTGTTTACGTATAAATTATTTAATTTATTATAAAATATTATTTTATTTTTAGATCTTATTCTGTTTTACTATAATTTTAACATTACAAAATAATTATGGAAGAGGTAAACAAGATTAGTCAATAGTATAATGTTTCTTATAAATTAGAGGAATCAAAACAAATATGAAATAGTCGAAGAAAAATTAATAGATAGTGTGAAATCATATAAAGTTAATGAAAACACTATTTTTAAATTTCATCAGTAATATTACTACTTACATTTATAAGCAATCAATCGGTTACGTAATTCAATATTGTCGTAAACTTCATAAAAAATATATCAAATGTACTGTATATAATATTTATTACAAATGATAATATCACATACTCCAGCAAACCTCACATATTTCACATGGTGTTATAAAAATTTCATAAATTCCCTACCAAGTACCAACGGTAATGTATCGAAAGGGGAGAATGGAAACAATTGGACAGAATTCATCCGCTTGAGTTAACATTGCGTGTGATATTGACTGGAGTCTACCCATACCCAATCTAAGTACATAATCTTGTATATGTAAATAAACTTTTCTATTTGACGGAACACGATACCACCCGCAATGAAAGGGCGGAATTTTCAAGGAAAATGAAATATATTCATGGGAGATATGTCGTACACTTTAAACACGATATTAAAAGTACCTTCCACGAGTTGTTTTTGTATTCTAATGGATTTTATGGACGTACATTTACAGACTCACCGATAAATTTTATCTAATATAATATTCACAAAGATTCCACATATTACCTGTGACTATTTTAACGGTCAAAATAAAGTTAATAATTTTCATGATGTGTTTAATAATTAATCAGCACTCCATTACATAGTAATCGTTTTAAAATTTTACGATATATGATATTAATATTTATTTCCGAACATTACATAAATTGTCCGATATTTCATACAACAGGATATAATAATATAAATTTTAATGTATTCATCTGCATACATTATCAATATCCGATATATTTTACATGTTATAAATAGTTTAATATGTTTATTAGAGTATGGACGTACGTGCAAGGACATAGGTTGTCTGAACAGCGAAGTATGTGTCCTGGCCGAAGATCCTTGCAGCTTTGGTCACACCTCTGGCTGTGGGACCTACCCTACCTGCAAAAAGAAGTCGCAAGTCGAAGGTAATATTGATAAACCACTAATATTCATATTATCATATTAGCAAGAAGTATTTTACGCCGACTAGATCTATCTAAATCTTCCATGAGAAATATATGCAAAGAAGCAATTATATTCTATTTAGTGTAAATTTTTGAATTCCATTTAGCTTAGTCATTATGTTTTTCGCAGAATCTTTTTTAATGCTTTATAGCTTTGCACATTTTAATATTTGAAATAGCATCATATCCTTACATTTCGTAATTTTGAGTCTACGAATCTATATTAAAATTCAAATAGAAATTGTACAATAAAAAAGCATTCAGGGTCCCAAGATAAATGTTAATTCGTAAAAAATATTATTCCTCAAATCAACTTTAAAGTATAATATCAGATAAAAACATCCTTGTAATATTATTGAAGATCATTTAAATAATAATAATTTGCCAAATTTTGGTACATACGACACTAGATCAACGTATGTATATCACGCTAGTTTTGAAACTTAATGAATATCAAAATCATTTTATCATCAAACGCTATCATACTATTTAAAATGTAATTAATTTTATTTACAAACACATTCACACCCCCTACAAATTCACTTAATAATCTGTAACAGAACATTTACACGCCCTCCTGAATGTAAGAAACACGCATACCGGTTTCATATTCAACTTGGTTCAGGTTCCAAATACATTTTGCGACTCCCTTTACGGAATGTTATTATCTTTTTTGGAAGCCCCTGAGCGTTGCCTCTCACACTCAGAGATCTTTTGATATACACGATAATAAGATATATTATACGAAGATATTGCTTTTCTATAGACATGTTACAAATGTAAGGAGGCGTATAGTTGACTATTTAAAATCTTTTATACGTTTCGATATTAAAGAGTCGTAAACATATTAGATCACAGGAGTTTTATGTGTTAAATTAGGTATTAGTACTATTTAGGGCAACAGTAAACGTACAAAGAGAACAAATTTGTAATAAAGTACAGAAATAGTTACAAAAGATTGTGTAACACTCCATATATCTCTTTGTCAGAAGTAAATATTGAAGAATTGTCTGTATGTACTAAATGTAAAATTTATTCAAGGAATACTCAAAACAGAAAATGATAAAGAGTAAATTTATGTATGTTTCATATCATCATAAATTTCTCTTTGGAACAAACATTCTCATTGTTCAGACAGCGTATTGATTATAACGTTCAAGAGTTTACAATTGCCTGTTAGCGTTTGCTACGTTTGTATGCTCTAGTAGCAATTCATTCGTATTTATGATATTCATTCTTATCGTTATAATTTTATTAGATTCTACCTTTTTTTATTCATTTACATGATATACAATTATTACTTCAAATTATGAGTATTTTTCTATGCCTACTATATTACTTCTACTACTTATACTACTTCTACGCTTTATATTCCAGGATCACATTCGGAACCAGCTAAGCCGTCGGTACCAAATCCGGTTCCACAAACACCGTCGAGAGACTCTGACTCGGCGCCACATTATCCTCCACCAGCCCCGCCTTCTAATGGACATAATTCTCCATACGGCGGTAGTTCCAACGGTGGTAGTTCTCCCTATGGTGGCAACTCCCCATACGGAGGCAGTTCAAATGGAGGATCTTCGCCATATGGCAATAGGTCACCTTACGGGAGCAATACGAACGATGGCGGTTCGCCTTATGGTGGTAATTCTCCTTACGGCGGGAATAACCCATATGGAGGCAGTTCGAACGGAGGCTCCTCTCCTTATGGGGGTGGGTCTCCTTATGGAGGCAACTCTCCTTACGGAGGTTCATCCAACAGAGGTGGAAACCCCTACGGAGGCAGCTCCAACCCCGGCTTTGGAAGTTCAGGAGGAAAAAGCCCATTGGACAATATCTTCAACACACTGAATAATTTCGCAAACGGAGGAGGCAGTGGAGCTGGCGGTGGTTCAGGAACGGGACTATCGAACATATTCGGAAACATTCTCGGTAACTTATCAAAAAGCGGAGGTTTGAATGGATTGTTCAACACTCGACCCATAATGGAGAATCCGGGCTACCAATCATATAGTTCGAATTCTCACGCTAATCCCCAAAATTATCCATCAGGGAACACGGCCCATCAGCCCAACCAGAATAGGAAATATGAGCACAGTTACGCTTCACACAACGGAGCCAGTACCAGAAAGCCGATATCTTACGGCTGGAACGTTAGGTAAATTACAACTAACGACTAACTAGGGGTGCCTTCGAAATTCGCTTCGCATGGACACCACAAATATTACTGCACTTGCTAATTTTTCTATTATTTTATAAAATTATTTGCATTTTTCTTTTGTATAACGCTATTCGGTGTGGTTTTTATTTTGAAAGCTAACATATTGTAAATATTTAGTACAGTTGTAAATGTAGCCGTTTATAGGATCGGAATTTATTTTATACGGAGGCTTATTGGCAAGTAACAATAAATTTTTTTGATATAAATTTATTCGAATGATAAATGACTATATGCTGTATCAGGGGTTCCCAAAGTGTAACGAAACTCCAGAATTTGAGGTCCTGTGTTAGCTGCTTACTATATTTTTGAACAATTTTTATACTAATTATTTCTAAGTTTTGTTGTATTTTGGGAATCCCAGTACTAATGTATAAGCCAACTAAAATCTAATTTCTTTTAAAGCGTCTTCCTTATGCATGCATATTTTTAACCAGGTAAAGGTTAGTCTCCTAAATAGTTATTAAACGAAATATTTTTTAAATCTCAGCCTAAGAGTCTCAGTGAATATTAATCTTAATAGTAATTTATATACTAAACTATGTTTAAATAATTCACCTTAGTGAACTGTAACTGCTTTTTTGCTACAACTATTTCTTTTTAAATACTTTAATATAATATTAATTAAGCACAGCTTTATGTATACGAAATAAGCATACTCTTTCGCTACCTATCAGTGTTGTCATACTCAAAAATTAATACTCAAAATGTAAATTTGTATAATAAAGTTACTCACATTACCCCTATAATTTTGTCACAAAGGGATATATGGCTACCCCGAATTGAACGAACTGTAACTCCCTAATTGATACTCAATCATGTATAAAATTTTGGAAAAAAAGGAATGAATTCTGTTTATTTTTCTACTAGCAATACAGGAGTCATTATTTTTTAAGAATATATAACAATTGAAATATTTTATTTCAGTTTGACAGTCTTTTTCACGTTCCTGCTCCTACAATACTCTTCGAGGATTTAGTTTATATAAGATTTCAATAACTATTTGTTATGTAAAAAAATGTATATGTCAATATAAAATATTATCTGTTAGTTGCGTTTTTATTCCGATTTCTAGAATCACTACTAGCAAGCTGATTATATAAAATATTTTATCAGTACTTATTAATAACAGCACCAATTAAGAGTAACTTTAAAAATAAAGAAAAAACATATTGACATAATCTATAGCTTACTTAATTTCAATGTGAATATCTTATTACATAGTCTTAAATTTTGTGTCTCATTTATTGCATGTCGCATTACAGGCGACCGCAAGTAGGAGTAATCTGGAAGTAGAGCAGCAAAGTTAACTTGCGTTATGACATAACTCTCCTGTAATAACTGTGTAGTTTTTCTTTTAATTGTTATTAAAATAAATATTGTTCGAAGTATAGTTTCAGTCTTGATTTTTGATATTCAGCGTTGCTTCCAGTTATGTCCTACAAAATGATTGAAGTCAGTATTTATAGCTTTCAAATATAATTTGATACTTACCATTACAAAATTACAATAGTTCAGTATTATAATTATTTATAATAATCAGTCATAAAAATAATTATTAGGATAATCATATACTATTAATAGTACTGCAACGATGGCGACACTTGTGACAATACCTACATAAGGTTTTAAACGATACTTTCATCTTAATGAAATTATTATGTACTAGCTTTCCGCCCGCAGCTTCGCCGCGTGGAGTTCGGTTATATCGCGTTTCCAAGAGAACCTTTCAAAAGTCTGGGATAAAAACTATCCTATGTTCTTTCTCATGGTCAACTCTATCTCTGTACCAAATTTCATTAAAATCAGTTCAGTGGTTTAGGCGTGAAAGCGTAGCAGACAGACAGACAGACAGACAGACAGACAGAGTTACTTTCGCATTTATAATATTAGTAGGGATTAAGTACTCAAATACACTGAAAGTATTTTAATTGCATATCTTGTATGATACGGCATTTTAATAATCATTTCCATTTCACAACTTATAGCTTAAAATTGGAAACACTTCAAAGCCCTCAATGATATAACATTCCATGAAAATGTCTTTTTTGACGTTAGGGAAGCAACTTATCGCCTCTCGTAGTGGGTATATATTCTTTTTAGCTAAATAAAAATGCCTACAATTCCATAAAACTATTTCTTGCATAATGTTGTAAATTTGTAGGCTTGAAATAAAAGAACAATTTGCCATTAAATATTTATTTAGATCACTACAAATTCGTTAGAGTATAATGCCTTTAAAGGGCTTACAAAATGGTAATACATTAAATGTCATAAAGTTTAAAAAGTGGCCTAATTTAAAACACCCGTCCCTACATCCATACATATAGTACCCTTTATAATTACGTATAAAACCCATTAAAAAATACAATTAAGTTAAGCCACTTCAGTGCAAATAACTTAGGAATGTACTGTTATACCGAAAGTTATGCAATACAAAACAAATCCGCACCGAAATATAGATTCATAGCCGAAATTAAATTAATTGAGCAACAACGTTTTGACTGAAAAACAAAAATACAACAACATGTATGAGTAAGTTTACTTACCTAACACTTATACAAAAAAATCAGTCCATACAACATACTCGCTACATCTATAAATATAAAAAAAAATTGCACATTCAATTGTTTTCGTATGAAATCACTAAGTGAAATCAACGAAACCAAAGACATAGTTCAAGATACATTAAATGTTACTGAGAATGAACTATAACCCTCGGGCCTAGCATTAGTCTGACGCGATTCAATATAAGACCGAGCACGAAGAAACCGAACCACACGAAGTACCAGTAGTGATATACAGAGGAATAATACGCCCACACTCTATCAATACTTAGTAGCAAAAACGCAGCAGCTTGATAGGACTCGGAATGAGAACGAAGGAACCACATTATGAAGCCGATGATTTTCTTTTTCTGAAACAAAAACAATATAAATCAATTCTCTTTACAGAACTGCCAAAAAGATACATTTAGATTCTAATGAAAAGCTTCTTTTAGTTTTAAGCTATAACCGAAATATATATGGACAGTAATAATTATTTATAATAGTTTGAATTATGATGTACTTTATAATTGTAAACTTAACGTTATTTTTATTCTCTTATTAATTGGGAATTCTTATAGTAAAGTAGCGCCCTCTGTTTGTTATTATAACTTAACATCAACTAAATGTGTTACACTTGAATATTGTACTAAGATGTATGTTCTGGACTATGAATTCTGTTACGAGTTGTGGAGAAATAGGTATAATAGTGGAAGTAGTTCTAAACTTATATCTAACAAAAAATGTGTGACTTTTTTTGCTCATTGTTCCAAATAAACAAAAATATAGTGATATTTAAGACATCTGATCTACCGATGATCACGATTGCAGAAAAGTACCCAAAACGTCGGGAGTATGTAGTTTTTACAATAATAAAATATGCTTAGTAATCCCAAAAATATTACTTTCATTGAAAAAAATATATATCTATAACTAATATTCAAATCCTTACCGTGCCGGTAGCATCCTTGTAATAAAGATGATAGTAAAGATCTTCGGCCATCAAATAGAACGGACAGAAGTAGATACAGAAGAAGTAGCCGGGGTGGAAACCGTGCCAGATGACTGACACGAACAGGGCCGCGTGGATCCTGGAGGCAAAGTTATATTATATATATATATATAGAAGTTATATTATAATTACATATATAGGAGAATAAATATATAAGACTAGAAGACCTGGCGAACTTCGTATCGCGCTATAGTCAAGAAATATCTATTACGTTTTTTTATTTATATTTTTGGAGTTTACCTGTAAGCCATAAATCTCCGTGTTTTGAAGTGCGACAGAATGATTGACATATTAGTTAGTTGTCAAATCTAATGTCAAAAAAAACGTTTGTATGGGAAATAGAAAAGGGCTGTTTTTATGGTTTTCTCAGTAATGAATCAGTTTTTTTCAGCTTTTATACCTACCCTGAACCTCTACAAACATTTCAAGACTAAGATAAGATAAATCCGTTCAGCTGTTCTCGAGTTTTAGCGAGACTAAGGAACAGCAATCCATTTTTATATATTGGGTTGTTCGGAAAGTCATTTCGTTTTTTTTGCGGAACATGAAAGATAGTTTTCGTATAATGAATAAATATTTTAATAAATTATATATTGGCCATTCTGGTCCAACACCTTTTGCCAGCTTTCTGGCAGTAACATAATTTCCCTCTCATAAAAGTTTTGGTCCTTGCTGTCAAAAAACTGGTTCAGGTGGTTTTTGACATCTTCATTTGAAGTAAAGGTTTTGCCATCCAAAAAATTTTGCAGGGACCGGAACAAATAGTAGTCGGAAGGCGCCAGATCTGGAGAATATGGTGGATGTTGCAATACGTCCCATTCAAGCTGTAAAAGTTTTTGGCGAGTGTTCAAACTTGTGTGAGGTCTCGCATTATCCTGGTGGAACACTACACCCTTCCTGTTGATTAATTCAGGCCTCTTCTCTTTAAGCGAATCATTCAATTTGTCCAGCTGATGACAATAGACATATGAATTAATCGTTGTATTGTCCGGCAAAACCTTAAAAAAAACGATTCCTTTGACATCCCACCAAACGGAGAGCATCACCTTTTTTTGGTTAATGTTGGCTTTTGACACACTTTTAGCCAGTTCATCTTTTCTGCTCCATTACCTCTTGCGTTTAACATTGTTGTATACAACCCATTTTTCATCCCCAGTAATAATCCGCTTCAAAAATGGATTATTTTCTTGACGTTTCAGGAGCGAATCACACGCGTCGACGCGACGACACAAATTTCGCTCCGTAAGGTCATGGGGCACCCTTTCAAATGGCCATAAACGGCCAAAATCGACAAATTTAATCTCTTACCGATCTCTCGTGTGGTTATTCACCGATTTGCATCGACTAATGCCTTTATCGCATCTTTGTCAGCTTCGACTGGCCTGCCAGAGCGTGGTGCACCTTCGACATCAAAACTGCCGGATCGAAATTTTGCAAACCAGTTCTGGCACTGGCGTACTGTTAACACGACTTCTCCATACACATCCGTCAATTTTTTTCTCGCTTGGATAGCATTTTTACCTTTTCTGAAGTAAAAAAGTAAAATATGACGAAAATACTGCTTATTGCTCTCCATATTTAAAAGGGCACCAACCAAAAACTACTGCGTAGAATTAATAGAGCTTTTTCACACACAAGCCTTGCAATATCAGCTTTCAAGACATATAATGGTTATGCGGCTTAAGTGTGAAGTTAGTTTCGAAGAAACGTAATTAAGTCATCTGACAGGAAAAAACGAAATTACTTTCCGAACAACCTATTATATAGAAGATACCAATAGGTTACAAATTACTATTGAAAACATACACACAGGGAGTTTTAGGAGATTTTTTGCAATCATCTTGGGCTATTGAATTAATAACATAGTGTTGATAACTTGCAAGTAAAGATTGTAATAGACAACTTCAATTTTGAAAAATTTGAGCGTTTCTTTATGAACATGTACAGAATTAATGAAGCAAGAACTGAATGTTTTTAGTGTTTTTTTGCATAGCTTGGGCTATTTTTTTAGTTTTATTGAAGGTATATAAATTTAAAACCTTCAGTAGAATCTTTGTTTAGTATGCAATGCAAATTTGGATTACACTTACAACTCAACAGTATTATATGACACACACTTAATAGTTGTTTACCTTAGATTGTACAAATATTGATTAATTCCATTATTATATAAACTAACTATTAGAATAATTGAGGGTAACATTATTATTTCTATAATATTGCTACACCATATTTAATTAATTTTGAGATTATAGATGGTAACAATCACACATAAATTATAAATAAATAGAAAAATTAATAATAAAAAAATTGGACTCTAAAGGATTATTTTTCCCATAAAATTCAAAATATCCTGTAAACTTTTCCTGAACATATAAATTAATCCTATTGCTTTTGTTTGTTTTTTAGTTCAAAAGAGTTTAACTTATATTTCAATCAGAATAGAATAGAGTACAATAGAAATATATTTAAATATAAAAGTATTAAAGATTTATTGACACTATGAGAATAAGTAACTGTGACTTCCTAATAACTACTAACTCCTAATAAAAGTCAACTTTAAGTTCGTTTCTGAGGTTTATTCAACAGTCATAACTTTTATTTTTATTTATTATAATCACAATATATTTATATATTTTCAAACACTTTCACAATTTTAATGATTTATTTCCTATATCAATTCATAAGATTTATAAGTTAAGTAAAAAGTGACTGGATTTTTGTGATTCATAAGCTATCTATACTAATATTATAAAGCTGAAGAGTTTGTTTGTTTGAAAGCGCTAATCTCCGAAACTACTGGTTCGGATTGAATAATTCTTTTTGTGTTGGATAGTCCAGTTATCGAGGAAGGCTGTGGGCTATATAACATCACGCTACGACCAATAGGAGCAAAGATATAGTGGTAAATGTGTAAAAGATATAGTGGTAAATGTGTATAAAACGGGAGAAATTATTTCATCTTTGAAGCCTTCCGTTGCGTGCGCCGTCAAAACGGTTCAAGGTACACAAAAAATAAGTATTAAAGAATAATAGCTCTTTTAATGATCTAAAAAACAGTCCAGGACAGTATATGTCTATCTTTTAAGATTAACTCACAAAAATCGTTTTTATGGTACCTAATTTGGTCGGAATAATTTGTTTAAGTTGTATCAACATAATAATATTAATCTTTATTCAAATAAATATGTTGTTGGTGAAGAGTACTTCATTGTGAATAAAAAAACATCTTAAAAATTCTACGGGAACTCGACCATTCCGAAAACCCCGCAAGAACGGGAACTATGTGGATAGAACCAAAAATCTGCCGGAAGTCACTATTCCACGCGGACGAAGCCGCGGCAAAAACTAGTATATATATATATAAGGGTACTCAAATGAAACTAATATTATTCGGATTACTACGCGTATTATATTAAAAATTTTAAAATACGCGTAGTAATCCGAATAATATTAGTTTCATTTAAATGAATACTCGCGTAGTTCTTAGATCTTATTATATGAGGATACTTACTTAAAAGCCTTCAATGGGAATCGTTTGTAGACGACCATAGCGACCCAGTACTGAACCGCTTTGTTCCACACCTTCATTGAGTCTCTGAGAGTGACAACAGTCTCACAGCCCCATACTTCCATAGACTCGACGGTCTTGAAGTCGTATTGAGCAGACTCAGCATCGGTCAATGACCTGGAAATTATTATATACAGTATGTTAATTATTATATACATACAGGAGGTTTCGAAATTATTGTGAATTATTTTTTTAATTCACATTATTTTGTGCTTATTTTTCTATGCTGATGTATTTATTTTTATCAATTAGTGATATATATTAACGTGTTCAAGGGAACGCCCTCTGTTACATAACATACTGTATATAGTTAACACACATTCAATTTTGAGTCAGTGATGGCCTAGTGGTTAAGTTCGCTCTCGTTGCCGAAGGCGCGGGTTCAAACCTGGCAAGTACCAATGTGATTTTTCAGAGTCTATGTACTTTATACAGTATTCAGACATCACTGACATACGGTGAAGAAAAACATCGTGAGGAAACCTGGACTTATAGTTTCACAATTATAAGTTTGAAATCACCAGGGTTGGTGAAGACGGGTGTCTTGAGCAAGCGTGGTGTTTAATGCTCAAACCTTCTCCATGTGAGAAAGAGGCCTTTGCTCAGCAGTGGGCTTTGATAGGCTGATGACACACATTCAATTTGAACCGAACCTTTAAATTAGTGACGTAAACGATGACATTTGGTTTGCTCACTTTTACGCGGGAAAGTATTTTGTTGACGCGACTTGTGTATGTAAATTAAATTTAACTTATTAAACTAATAATAATTAGTTTGTTCTAGTTAAGGTTTGATGGTATTTGAAGGTACTGGTTTTATAGGACATCTATATTTTTTAATGATTTTGTTAGAATCCTAAATATATATTCACTAAAGCATAATGTTGAAATCATTATTGTTGAAGTCATAATGAATACTGGAAATTAACTTTAGGATTTCGACTTCAACATTGATTCGTTTCTTTTAACTTTATTTTCATTTTGTATTTCGTTATGTTGATATTGTACTGAATTTTGATAACAAGAAACTTTAAATCAGACATATTAGTTTAGATAATCTTACAGCTTTATACATTAATAAATTTCATTTGAAATAAACCCAGTCAAATTGAGTCAATTTCGAAGTCATTCATCAGATGACTTCGTGAATGACTCGACTTTGCCATTGACTCACATTTGTTTCATCTTCAAGTATCCCACGGTCGGTCCGTGGCCGGATCTGTTCCTGCCTTGGACCGGATATGCTCCAAGTCCAGCGGAAGTGCAGACGCTCTCAGCAAGAGTCATGCCAGCGTATATCCGTTGACGGAAAGCAGCGAACAACAGCCACGGGTAGAACATGCGGTACACGAAATGACGGCTGTTGTGTTCCTCCGTTAACACGTACTGGAGAGATTGAAATTAATATTAGTATTATAATAATATATATAACTAGCTCTAACTCGCGAATTCGTCCGCGTTTTGGGTTCCTGATAGAAAACTTAACAAGAACACGTTTTGCTCTTCAAAATGGTTATAAAAATATATTAAAACATTTTTAAATTTCACTATAAACATATTAAGATATTTAATCGTAAAATAAATTAACGTTATTTTAATTTATAACCTCTATATTACAAAACTATAGACTTGACCTAAAGAAGTTACGACTTACGACATAAGCAAACGAAACTAGTTTAAACCATGAATTTAAAATAGATTCATACAGAAATGGTCTTTATGTGGTACAAGATAAAGATGATTTTACCTCCAAAGGAAATAGATGTGACAGTGCCAAGTACAGTGTGACGTATAGAGGTACTGCTTTGAGTGTGTTGATGGTGAAGCCGAAACAATCAACGTGCTTGCTGAAGGGTAGTTTGAAATAATCGTCGTATGTACGATAACGGTAATACGGACCTGGGAAATAATAAGGATTAATTTTATCAATATTAAGTTTCTTTTTTTAATAATGACTTAGTTCTGGGTGTAATTTCTATAACGAAATAGAACTAAATTTTCATGAATTTCTTTAATTACCATGAATATTTGATGAACTGATTATAATACAAATCAAACACAATATTTTAAATTGTATCCAATCAGAATATGACTGAAAATCTCACTCAAATATTTTGAAAGAGACAAGAAAGCTTCAACGGCGGATTAATTATATAACAAGACTAACATTTGTTACAGGGCTCGTACAGTACGGGTTAAGAATATTTAAGACATCATCTTTATTACGCAATAACTTAATTTCTTAAACATACGATATATTTAATGTACTTTATATTAGAAAAAGCTGAAACTATAACTATTCAAAAAAACTTCTCTAAAATATTGTTATTTGTACAAAGAAGCAATCACAAAAAATCAAAGGGATTTGAGAACGATTTCACAATAACTTCGTTATTTAGTCCAACATTTATAATATACAGGGTGACTGGTGAATTACTATCGATACTTGAGGACGTGATATTTGACGATCATATATGACAAAATAAAAATTAATATAACATAAATATTAATAAACTTCTAAGTAAAGTTAACCAAGAGTTATGTAATTAATTACGCATCGTGTGAACACCCTACAGATTAGGTATACACTCACAATCACACATACGCGAGCGGGGCGTAGTGTTGTATCAGCACGCCGCCGCATGCGTCCACACTTGGAACACTTGGAACGTGTCAACACTTTATTTATTTATACGGAAATTTTGTCAAAAATTAAGTGCCTATTTTTTTTACATAATTCGAATGAGAATCATGTACCGAGTATTCTCCTTAAATATTGATAGTAATTCACCAGTCACCCTGTATATGGTTCTATGACGTCAATAAAGTCGACAAATTATAGCCTTTTCACATATTTAAAGTGAGTCTAACATACCAGTCAATAATCCAATATAGTTGAACGTATAATGGAATAAATTCACATAATCAGGGTTGATGAGTTCCACGAAATCCTCATCCCTTTCCTTGGGGCGATCATCTCTTCTATCACCCCTTTTCCTTTCCATCATAGCCAGATATGATCCATTCATTTCAAACGCCACTCCCACAACACGAAGCACTATGATCATCTCTATGAGATTCGTATGCCCTGACGATGGAGACAGACCGAACCTCTCGCCAAGACGGAATATTGTAAGGTAGCCGAACATAAAGAAGAATGTAGTCACGTGACATTTCCTGTAGACAAAGTTTATAATGTTAATGTATGTAAGGCACTTCACTTGGCGTTCATTTGTTGTGACAAATAAGACTATGTGTGGAGCATTTATTTGCCTTCATTTGACATATTTGCACAAATAAAACACATACACAAATAAGCGAAAACGCGTAAGTCAATGTTGGCATGCCAAGTGTGGATGTCGTGTTTGCGCTATTTGGACTAAGAACTAATATTTGGACAAATGCGGCGAATACGCATCGCCAGTTGAAGTGTCACTTTAAGTAAAAAGTTTGATAGGAACTAATATGTCATGAAAATTTTTGATTCTATTATAATGTGGCAATGTAGCAGTTAATGAGAATATTCTTATTTGTATTAATAGACATGTAAAAAATAAAAATGTAGCATGATTTTAACAAAATTATATCATGATATACATATAGATTTTTTATGATAGAAAATAAAAACATTAACAAAAATATATAGTAAATAATAGAGGTGGGACATATAATAATTTTTAGCATGATTTTTTTAGCGTCATAGATTTTTTTAAACTTTGCACACCTAACAGTGACTGGTAAAAATGCAATAATTCGATTGAATTATCTCATTACGCTGATTGGATTGTATTGAATAATATTTATATGGCGATATAAAATTCTTATAAAACCTTAAATCTTGTAAAATTAATTTAAGAAAAATACTCGACAAAAAAAGTATCTATTTACTAAAAAGTTAAAAAAGAATACTAAAAAAATTACAAAAAAATTATTGTATTGCATAAAATCAAACTAAAAAGCGTAAAATAAGTGCTTTGTGAGTTGTGACATAATATTATTCGTGAAACGAGCACTCCGCGCTATTTTCACAATAATATTACTATTTTTCGTTCATTATTATTTTCTGCCTATACGGAAAATTTTACACTCTTAAGTTCGATATTATGCAATAAAAGCGTATTTATTAGTTCTTTTAAACTATATTTTTTACTGTAAAAAAGACAAAATGAAAGCCATTAGAATAATGCATAAATACAATTTAAATAACGAACAAAGGAAAATCCCATTCAACGTTCGAAATAAATACGTTAAAACCTTCATACATGTATGAATAAAAAACAGACAAGATGAAAATTCTGAAATGAAAATTGCAACGAACCCTTTCCCGCCAAACGTATCCTATGTATACATAATAAACTATCAGACATGCCGGCTACAACCAACAAATCGATACGACGCCGGTAGAATACGATATTGAGCTTTACACTACAGCAAATAAGTTTCAATTTAGTTCGACATTATATTCCGTATCCGTACATAACTTTGATATCAATATATCGGAGGTGCATTAATCAATTGTCTCGTCACTGAGAGCCCGCCATATTGATAAAGGCTTCATTTATAGTCAATCGTAAAGCAGCTTTTCATACGAATCGTTAATATGACAGATTTAAAATGGCTGCTTTTGTCTATTTCTTTCAAAATAAAAATTATATGTGCCTATACTTTTCTTTAATTTTACGTTTTGCTTTTCATGAATCATGTAGTAAATAAACAAAGTTTTTTTTATTTATTAGCAGTCACATAATAGTTGTTATTTTACTACCGGCATTTTTGGAGGAAAATTCAATTTTTTTTAATGAAACTGTCAAGGGCACCAATATTTTCATAACAGATGAAGCTTGAATATGATATAAACAAAGAATGTTGAATATTAAATTTTAAATAAAATATTTCTTAAAGTGATTTTGTACTTTTGATCAATATAACAATTTTAAAAAAAATATGTTTTATGAATAGTTATTTTTTCTTGAAAATTAAACATATTTATTCAATTAAATCCCGAGTAATTTTTATATTTTAATAACTTTCTCATTATTTGGTTGTTATGTACCGAAGATACAGTGAATTAAATAATAAAATTCTAGCAAACATTTTTATATGCAATTTAAATAATTTAGAAATAACAAATATATTTATATATTAAAATTGGATATCATATGACTTTATTGGTTTAATTATTTTAATATTATAATTTATCTCAATATTATAATTTATCTCAATATTTCTTTGTTATTCCGCTAGAGAATCATATCAAAAGTTTTACAGGTTTTCTATTATTACATCAATAATTCTACATTTTAACTATTATGAAATAATTATATTTAACTGTCTTTCATCTCAATACAATAATTAGAAGTAATTATGAGAATTTTTTTCTAATTGTTGGTGTCAGAATTAAAAAAAAATATTTCAAATATCTAATTAAATGTATGAAAACAATTTCTGTATGATATAAAAAATAAAAAATAAATTAAATTACCAAGAACAAAAATATATTAATTAGTTCTTATTTATTAATTAAGTTACTTTTGTAAACCAAAAGTTTAACAAATTAATATGCAACACAACAAAAAATATACATACAAATAATATACTATAATCTCATTAACATACATTAAAAACATTGAACCGCTCAGCGTGTGATAGATTATAGAATACTTACTGAATGGTAGTTGACTTGATGGCCATGATGCCGAAGATACCAGAAAGGATCGGATGAAGAGCGCTATACCCAGATACAGTAGCTATCAAAAACAAACCCAACAACGAACCGACCACTTTCTTCTCCTCAATAATATTTATCCGCCTATAATACGGCCCGATAAATACACTAAACAATAGCAAAGATAAATAAATAATATCATTTTTATTTTTTGTTACGAACTCCCACATTTTTTAAGCTAAATATAGCTATATGTTACGCAAAATATGATAGATAATTTAGTTTTATTCAATATTCACGTAAGAATTTATAAAAATGACAATTGAAATGGAATTGACTGAGGACGCAGGTGATATGGAACTGATTCGGGCTTTGGAATAACGATTGATTGGTTTAAGGGGTGACATTGACATTTAAAGTGTTGCCGATAACCTTATGTAGGTATGTATAATTTGTTATGAATATATTAAAAATTGAAGACTAATCTGATTAATTACCAAGTATTATTGTTAGTTGTATCTATTAATCATCAAAGTTTAAGCAATTTGTGAAGAAATCATTAGTTTTTATTTATTTTTTCATTAAATATTAATTTCATTTCACAAACATACTTGTCATTGAAATGTTTTGAATTTGTTTGTGATAATCTTAAACTATATTAATAAACTGCGAACTGCTTTTCTAGCCAATAAAAATTGTATCATACATACATTGTGTAATGTAATACTATAACCCGGATATTAAGCTAAGAAGGAAATCTTTGGTTTTTGCTTTTCACAAATGTTTGAAGCAATAGATTGAAAGCATGATATTTCAATAAGTTGAAATACAGTTCTTGGAGATGTATTGTCCCCATGTCCATACCAAATAAGTATTTTACATAAATAAATTGATCTTTTAGTTTATATTTATTGGATCCTTTGAAATAAGTTGCCAACTGTAATTATCATGTAATCAAGTACAGCTGATTATACCAAATATGATGATGTTATGACAGTTGACAGTTGACGTCCGCTTTTTGAACGTGTACGGTGTACAATTTGGGTGTATTATTGATTATAATATCTTCCGACTCATAACGATGATAAATAAAAAATTCGTTTAATATATTCTAATAAAACTAATTCAACAATGAAGTCTAATTTGAAGGATGACGTCAAAAAAGAAATTATACAAAAACTTAACTATAAAATCGGTGGCGATATTAACAATTTAGTAAATGCATACGAAGTTGAAAACGAGTGCGTGCTTAAGAGAAATCAACTTAAAAGCTTGGTGAGTATCTTAACGTAAGAAACAATCATAAATGTACGATCTTGTGATTTTTCTTAATTGTTTTATCACTTCATTCTTTCATTTTTAGCTGAATGCTGCTAGCGATGAAGTACCCAACAAACTTTCTTCAGCAATCGCCAAAGCCGAATGTAATTCACAACAGATTGACCAATTGAGAGAGAAAAGAATTGAATTGATGAAAAAAGTAGATGGCTTCATTGAGAAAACCCAGCCATTGATGTCTGAGTTGAATAAAAGATTTACAGCTATTGGTAGACTTGAAGAAGTTTTGTCTTATTTTAAGTCATATGCTAGAATTGAGGAACTAAGGTAATTACTTATGTTTAAAAAATTGCTGGAACCACATCAAATATAGCCATAAGTATTCCATTAAAAAACTGGTCTGGTCAATTTAGACATCTGAGGCTACAATGATAATTATCATTGTAAATTTGATAGGCTTGTTCAAATATCTATCATTAATAAAATCCAAAAAGTCCAAATTGATAATCTGAGATGATAAGTTCTATTAGGAATTGATCTGAAATCAATATTGCGAAACAGATATAAATGTCTCAATATTTAAATGAAATGGAGGGTTTTGATAACTTTTTGTTCTTTGAATCGTGAATTGTTACATTTCAAAAATGGTGGCTGTAAGAGAAAAATATTTCTCATTTTTTACAGATAATTATATGATCTTACTTGTTGGTGAAAATGTTTAAAAACTGGTTGTTTTGACCTTAAAGTGTTAATTTCAACCTACCTATCAGGTCAATGAGTGCCTTTTGATTTCACTTGTAATTAACTTAGACAATCTTACCAATTGATTGAATGTGAATTATTGTTATTTCACTAATAGTTTTTGGTGTAATTTATTCTAGAAAATAAATTATTTTCAGTAAAAATACATGTCTGTTTTGGGTTAGACATATAAAGAAATCATTCCAAAAATCTATCTGTTTATATTTCTAGTTAATCTTAAATTATTCTGAATGTGCAATTCATTCCAGTAATCAGATGAAACAATGCAAAGATGATGAACAGTTGGTTGTCATGTTCGGAGAGATGAAGGAGATGTGCTCCAAATACAAGAAACCACACCAACAGACATATATCAAGGATTATACACACTACTGGCATAATATACTCAAGGACAACTTTACTAGGTAAGATAATACGGTGGACCCCCGGTAATCCGGCCCCTGTCTAATCCAGCACCCCCTGTAATCCGACATGATCTATTATTTATTATTGAAGACATATTTTGTATTCGCTAATGCATGATTGAACAAGTTACAACTTGTACGCACCATCACTACATATTGTGCTCGGCGCGTAGGGTATTGTTTTGATTCTGATTGCTTAGTTGGAATTTGAATTTGTACTTCAGAGTACATATAAGTACATATGTATATATAATATGTAAATAATCTTATCATTGAATCTGTAATTTGTCGGATTACAAGGTACTCTTTTGTAAAAAAATCCGGACTATAGGGGGTTTTAGGCTGTACTCTATAATCCGACGAATTCGATAGTTTGACTCTGCCCTGCAAAATGTTTGTCGGACTACCGGGGTTTCACTGTATAAGATAATTACTTGCACAATTAATATATAATATAATTATGGAAATAAAAATATTTTTTTTTATTTACTATGTGTTTAAAATTAGTTTTATTAACATTTTCCCAATGATTTGGTTACTTTACAGCAACCATGACCACGCAAAATGTAAATATATTTATTATATACAGAAACTTCTATCCGAGAAATGGCCTCAATTTTTAAAGAATTTTTTTTTTTATTTCACTATTAAAAATGAACACACTTTAAAATTCCATATTAATTATTTTCTTTTTTTGCACAATTAAAATATTAGTATACTAATATATGTATGTATAAAATCTATTTTTAGAAATTATGAAGATGTTCTCAAAGCATTGAAGTGGCCATTCACATCACAAGCTGAGATTGCCCCTACCAAGGAAGTAATGAACAGATTTACAACTGTTACCAGACATCTGTTCTTGGTACAGGAACCTAAATCAATGGTTGTATCAATATCTGGTGACTTTAGTCAAGGTGATTGATTTCTATATGAATTTATTGTATAAATGTGTATAAAATATTTGCTAGATAGAATTGCGAAAGTATGAAATTACTGATAAAATGTAGTAAAGAGTAATGACATACATGTTGTTTTTAAAATCTATTTAAAATTAATTTGTTGATAATGAATAACTATAAAAAAAGATTGCGTTCTTATTAATCTGTTAAAAATACTTTTATATCTTCACTGACAATATATTGTTGTATATCAACCAAAATAAAATAAAACTACATTAACATCTTGGTAAAATCTTTACTTGCCATATCTAAAAATTATCATATAAAAGCCAGGTCATTTTGGTATCACCATAGTTGCCATATAAAAAAATAAATTAAACATTTCTTACAGAACCAGAACCAACATTGCCAATAAAATTACTACTGAAGCCTCTCAAAAAGAGGTTTATGTTCCACTTCACTGGATCTCGTCAGACAGCGAGGATTGATCGACCCGAGTGGTTCTTAACTCAAACATTAACTTGGATTAAAGATCATCAAGATTTTGTCAAAACCAATGTACAGCCTATCGCTGAAAAACTAAACATGAAAAATGTGAACACAGTGGTAAGTTTTTATTTTTTTGTCTTCAGTACTAATATGTAAAAGAATAATAACTCAACATAATAATTGCTAGTCAGTCAGTCAATTATGGCCTAGTGGTTAAAAGGCCCGCATCTCATACACGAGAGCGCGGGTTCGATCCTGGCCCGGGCAAGTACCAATGTGATTTTTCCGAATCATATGTACTTTCTAAGATTATTTAGATATCACTGATTAATGTTGGTTCCCAAATGAGGGTTGATGTCAGGCAGAGGCGGCCGGTCGTAAAACAATTAACCAAAACTATTCACAACATGTAAGGCAGACCCTGGCTAAAGCTGGGAAATTGCCAGGTAGAAGAAGAATCAAATCAATGAAACCTTTTTATAGAATAAATTATTTTCATTTGTTTTATTGCAAATACATAATATATTAGAATTATATGTTATAATGAAGTTAATAATAATAATATAATTAAATCCAGGATGAATTCAACGTGGGTATAATATCATTGGCAGCGGAACGTCTTCACACTGTATTAGGCATCTATCACACTCAGACTAAACACGTGTTGGATGTTGACGCGGCGTTCGCGCACGCTGTGGACGAAACCTTAGGATTTCACAGAGAACTTGTTAATATAACGGGCGGAGAATTGAACAGTGTGCTGTCTGTTCTTACTAGAGCAGAGACCTTTGTTCGGTGGCTGGCCGTAGAGAAGAAATGTAAGCTGTTATATATTATTATGCGAGAAACAACTTAATTCAATTTTTGTTTATTAAAATATGTATTAATAATTTCATAGTAAATTAAGGTATATTAATATTTTCTGTAAATAAACTCTAGGATATCCTAGAAATATGACTGGTTTTTCCAACGAATTCGTCGGGGTTAGTTTCAAAATTAAAAATGTATAGCTGACCTTGCGAACTCTATTCCTACTTAAAGACAGTAGATAAGAAGATTTTGTATTTGATCAACTTAATATTTTTCTTTTTCAATCGAAATCAAAGGATCATATGTCCCTTTCCTTGTTCTAAAGTATCTCTTCACCAATTTTCATCTATGTATAAAAATATAAAAACAAAAATTCTTCATCTCTATAATAATAATTAAATAATATTTAAATAGATTTATATACACAAATTATTGATAATATCAAATTTGTATCACTAATATTCTTATAATATAAAACCCAAGGATATTATTATACACTAATAATTAACTATATTTCCCAGATGCTCTATCAAAAATGGATGAAACTCTCGATAATAGTCAATGGATTGAGCCGGTAGCTTCAGGCGTTGTATCAGCTGTGGGTTCAGTACTATGGGTTCCACGAGGTGCTGACTGGTTCATAGCATTACTTAAAACCATAGAAGACAGATACGCTATGCTGCCACAACCAGGACATAGGTGATCATTAAATATATGTAGTAGTTGGAATATTACTGAATATATCTTTTTTAATAGCACAGATGAGTTATTTCAGTAGGTAGTTATACATATATGCTTTAACTAGATGGCGCTACTTGTAATACTTTTATTATCCATACTAATATTATAAAGCTGAAGAGTTTGTTTGTTTGTTTGTTTGTTTGAAAGCGCTAATCTCCGAAACTACGGGTTCGAATTGAATAATTCTTTTTGTGTTGGATAGTCCAGTTATCGAGGAAGGCTGTGGGCTATATAACATCACGCTACGACCAATAGGAGCAAAGATATAGTGGTAAATGTGTAAAAAACAGGAGAAATTATTTCATCTTTGAAACCTTCCGTTGCGTGCGCCGTGAAAACGGTTCATGATACACAAAAAATATGTATTAGAAATAATAGCTCTTTTAATGATCTAAAAAACAGTCCGCGACAGTATATGTCTATCTTTTAAGGTTAACTCACAAAAACCGTTTTTATGGTAATTTGGTCGAAATAATTTGTTTAAGTTGTATCAACATAATAATATTAATCTTTATTCAAATAAACAAATTAATATGTTATTGGTTAAGAGTACTTCATTGTGAATAAAAAAAAATATAGGTTTTATCCTGAAAATTCTACGGGAACTCGACCATTCCGAAAACCCCGCAAGAACGGGAACTATGTGGGAAGAACCAAAAATCTGCTGGAAGTCACTATTCCACGCGGACGAAGTCGCGGCAAATGCTAGTTGTTACAATAAAATCTGTGATGATCACTTATGAAGCTACAGCAATACAGTAATTTGAAGCAATTAAAACATAATATTGCAATATTTATTAGTTTGAGAGATAAAATGTTCAGGATGTATAATATTATACTAGGTCAGTCCATATAATAATGTTTTTAATATAAAAACAAAAGTGACTTATAATTAAATTAAAATATTAATAGAAAACATTAAATTACCTGGATTTGAACCTCCAATCTCTAGAATATGTAACATTCTGGAGTTTTTATTGCTTTACCAACTAAACAATAGGCGCTATATAATATATAATCTGTTTGAATTCATATATAAACTAAATTGACTTTGATCATTTTATTTAGGACATATATTAAATAAGTAAAATATAATTATTGTAATTAATGTTTATAGTAAATGTATCAGAATCATCGCTATCTAAACTATTCATATTTATAACATACTAGCTTTCCTCCCGCAGCTTTGCCCGCGTGGAGTTCGGTTATATCGCGTTTCCAAGAGAACCTTTCAAATGTCTGGAATAAAAACTATCCTATTTTCTTTCTCAAGGTCAACTCTACATCTGTACCAAGTTTCATTAAAATCAGTTCAGTGGTTTAGGCGTGAAAGCGTGACAGACAGACAGAGTTACTTTCGCATTTATAATATTAGTAGGGATCTATCAACATTAAATGATTTCATCATACAATGAGTATTAAATATAATCTATCAGGTGTACTAGCTAGTTTAATATATTCCATCAATAATAATTCCACCAGGTTACAATTCCTGGAACTACAACTGGAATTGATCGAGGAGTGGCGTATTCGTTTGACGCAGTTGTTGGGGGCGGCTGTGACGTCACTCACACCAGACACCTTCCTCACAGCCGGGCCTCATCCTCTTATAGCGATCATAAACACAGCTCATCATACTAGGAATGTATTGTTGCAGTGGGCTAATTCATTGGTAAGATATATATGTATATATATAATGGTGTATGTATATTTATTTGTACGCTGTGAACTTAGAGACCAGTTGTATTGGAATCAATTTTTAGTTGGATTTTAAAGTATTACCTACTAGTAGACCCGGCGAACATCGTATCGCCCTATAGTCAAGAAATATCTGTTACGTTTTTTTAATAAATAAATTTAGGTTATACCTTAGCCTCAGAAATACGTGGTGGTTATGCTATTTTTTATTTTTTATTTATTGTTATTATACTATATTTGGTTCTATTATACAAAAAAAAAATATCTCAACATGACCGTCTACTCGTTTAATTACATACTTATGAATATTTTTTTCCTAATTTTAATATTATTTTTGTAATAAAAGCTTATTTATTACATAAAAATATATTTTTGCAGCATTATCTGCAATTACACTACTACAAGCGTCAGTTCCATCACTTCACCCAGCAGCAGCACAAAGAGGAGAGTGATGAGAGTGTGTACGATGATGAATACTACTACGATGATGATGATAAGACTGAGGACACGCACAGCAAAGACGGTCATTATAGTCCCATCACTATAACCCCTACGTAATAACTTTGCACCTCTCTCTGAGACGTCATTAGAACGATACCGCTTGCAAAAAAACTGATTATAATTTATTTTTTTATTTTTCATAGTTTAAGATCATTTTTGTATTTAATAATAATAAGTAAATGTAACAAAGATGCTATCGCTACGGAGCGCTTACGGCGAATGCGGGGCGCCGCCAGGTGTAGCGGGAGAGGGGTCGCATTCCAGAGAAGTGCACAGTTAATTCGTAGGGGTAATAGCTTGACTATTCAATTTAATATGGGAAAAGCAATATTATATATAATGAGAGCTAAGATTTTCGCGAGTACTCATTTAAATGAAACTAATATTTTCGGATTTACTACGCGTTTTTATTTTTGACTATAAACTACATATCTCGTTTGCCCGTGATCACGGTTGCTGTAAAGAAACCGAAACGTTGAGATTATTTAGTTTTTATTAAAAATAAAGTCGCGTTGTAAATCTGAAAATATTAGTTTCGAATAAAAATTTTGTATGTTTTTTCAAAGATTACATGAACCCTGAGGATAGATAAGCTTCCATTCAGCCCTCCTTCTTATGTATATATTAAAATTTCCGGAAACCTCAACTCTTATCTTCCTAAAGACTTTTAGATGCTAATTTACGTAAATTTTCGATGTTGATATTTTGTCATCTTATAGGAAAGTTTCGATGAAACATTTTACTCCCTAAGTCGCTTACAATAAAAGTTTTGTAAACTGACTTCTAACTTGTATGAGACATAATGGTTCTCTTAAAGTTTTTCTTCCAAGAACCATTGAAATACAAAATTAATTGAGACGAAACTTCTTAGCATTCCATGGATTCACCGTGCAGGTGCTGGAGCTTCAATAGTTCCTGGGACTTGTGACCCAGGTGTAGGTTTAAGCGGTATCTATCTAACGCGCATTAAACGCTCACCTACACCGTCTAAACTCCTCTCTCTACCTAACCAAATTTGAAAAGAACCTACTAGGGCTGCCATTGAATGCACGTTGATTATATATATTTATTTAGCAAATGTAAATATTGCATGTGTATTTTTTTACCACAGAAGATCAAATGGAAGAAGCGCTATCGTTAAACGACGTCGAAGTTCGTGCGAAGAAGATGGCGCTGAACGAAATAAAGAGACGGAACTCTGTTGTTAATGAGAGTCAATATGATGTTGTGAGTGTTAACAATAATATGTCTTATAATCTACATATATGAATTTAAACAAATGTACTTCAAATTACTTTTCTCGTATATTATATGGGATATAGTTGAGGCAAGAGCTAAAAAGGGTTTAACTAAGAATACTATCTACGGTCTCAATTTTATTTATCAGTACCTAGAAAGAAAGTCAAGAATAAAATTTATTCAATTTTATTTATCAATACCTAGAAAGAAAGTCAAGAATAATATTTATTCACTAATTAAATATATGGAAAAATTCTCCAAATAATTGATATTTCACTTGAAATATATTTAATCTAAAGGAAATTTCCTTAGGAGTTATTTAAGTCATGAACTCATGAATATAATGAGAGCCAGATACGTCGATTATGTCAACATGATACATTAGAATTTATCTCGTCACAATCTATCTGAATATAAAATGAATTGACACGTGCTATGAATATTGGTTGCTATAAATTTGTAGTATATTGGTAATTACTTGAATTAAAGTAAATCATCAATTCGATCTAATATTTACTTCAATTTATTATTATTATACAATTATATATTCTGTTTCTTATTTTTACGTCAATATTTTGTGGCATTAAAATAGTGTGGAAACGATAAATAGAAGTGACTCATTGTGACAGTATCTGTAAAACAAAATTAAAATTTTAAAGTTCTCCTTACGATTGATATATGGTATATACAAGTGTTTTTATATCGGGTTGGTGTTAGGTACAATGAAACCTTTGTTTATGACAGAAAAAACTGACCGTAGTATTACTACTTACTATATTCGAAAAATTAATCTTTGTACTTGTTCCACTCAAAATGCCAATATCTTCTTAATGACAATACATTTCTATCATTCAATTATATTTGATTTTTTCTATACAATATTTATATACGAATTCAATGAAGGAAGGTTTTCTATGGGACTTTTTTTACGAAATAATCCTCAGTAATATGCTTTATCATTTGTGGTATATATTTTTCTATATATTTCCCTCTAGCCAGGTGTAAGTCCATCAAGTTCGGAGGTGGAGGAAGGCGCGGTGTTCTGTGAGTCTCCGGCGCTGCTCGCTCACCTCAGGGACGCGGGCATAGCGGCGCTGGCTGAACATATACTGATGGAGTTCAAGGCTACTATACGGGAATACAAGAAACAAAAGTACGTAGTGCTCGGAATATGAGTGTTATATATTTTAAGAGTAGAGCTAAAATTTAATGTATTGTTTGGTCTATTTATTTAAAAACTTGATACTTTATTTAGTTCAGCTCTAATGATGATTGTGTGATCACAAATTAAATTAAAGTCCAAAAAATACTAATTTGACGTATTGATAAATTTACGTTTACTAGTAGTATCCAACTTATTTGTCCATACATCTTCATATATATAATTCTTCTGTGAGTGTGTATGTCACTGAACTTCTCTCAAACGACTGGAGCGATTTTGATGAAATTTTTTGTGTGTGTTCAAGGGGATCTCGGAATGGTTTAGAATCACAATTTTGTCCGCTGGACAATGTTTTTTTAATTTATTAGTAGTTGTTGATACAAACTTTTTTTTTTGACATTAGATTTAACAACTAACTAATATGTCAATCATTCTGTCGCACTTTGAAACACGGAGATTTATGGTTTTAATAGGTAAACTAGATACGAAGTTCGCCGGGTCTTCTAGTATACATATATAATCTATTATCTTCCCCCAACAGATGGCACTCTATGGTAACTATGGAGCAAGCAGCGTTGTCAGTATCCGCGCCACTATGTGCACCTCTATCTGGTGCTGTATCGCGTGCTGGCTGCGCTGCCGGCACTCTATCACCGAGACTCGCGGAACATTTGATGACGCATCTCGCTGCATGCGTTGATATGTACCTGTTCGAGGTTAGTATAGAAAAGTAACTGAGTGATATAGATATTTATATTGTGGAGCTTAGCTGTGGTCAAGTAACTACAGCTCGAAGATTTATTATATTATATTATTTATCATATATTACAGCTCGACCGGGGATTTTATTAAGGTGGCTTTGGTGATTCTTGTAAAATGATGATACTTTTGGTACATGCATATGTTAATCGAAACGCCATTTATTTAGCTCATCTTTGTAGTAAGAAGAGGTACAGGAATTTTTTCCGACATTGGTATCTTGGGAATCTTTCAAGGATTGCAATTACAACTATTTTTGCGGCATGTATAGATTAATTATCTAACTGTAGATAGAACTCTTTAAAGTAACGGGCCCATCGTAAAATTACTACAATTTCAAATGGCTTTATTTATTTTTTGATAGTTTTGCAAATAATTTTAATTAGTAAGTTAAAATCATTGTCAAAATAGTTATAAAAGTTATTATCGTTATCAGGAAGTAGTTCTGGAGAGTTGGTTCAACACGGGCGGGACGTTGCAGTTCACACACGACGTTAAGAGAAACCTCGTGCCCGCGTTCGCTCCACCGAATAAGAATGCATCTAAATTGAATCACCTCCCGAGGTAAGTTTGAAGCATTGATAAATGAATAAAAGAATGTGTTTTTGTTTTGTATATAGTATGAAACTAAAGATTTGACTTGTGTCTTGTATAATGTTCAATAATAAACAGCTAGTGAAATCATCCGTCAGTAATATTTTAAATTTATTTTGTCTGTTTTTGTTATCGTGTTCTGATAATTTGGATGTACTAGTAGTACAGTTCTTAATTAGTTGATATCGTTTTATTTGTAATGAGAGCACACGCGAATTTTTTTCTCCTCTATAATTGCTCATGTAAATGAAATTACAACATCACATCTTTTCAAGGCCCAAACTTTTTGTAACTTACAAAATAGCCAAAAGCATTCTAATTTTTCAGTATAATACTATAATTTGCTATACAGATTATTGGAAGCCTGTAAACTTTTGAACTTGGATTACGACGACGCAAGACGGCTACGTTCACACTTATCAAAACAGCCCAACGAGATGTCCGATTATTTGACGAATTTAAACATTAATCACATCAAACCAGCCGAGGCTCTACGCATATTGAACCAACGAACAGATCTCACTGATACTACTTCACCGTCATCAGTCATGGAGCTCTTCTGAAGTTTTGAAGGGGGAGGCGTCTAAGTGTATAGGAACGCGGGCATTTTTTCTGAATATTAACAATTTTCTTACATATATACATTATTCTTTTTAGAGTCTTCGGAAGACTACCTTATTTATTATCCCCAAAATTATCACGTGTTTTGTATGTGTTTTGTTTGAGTTATTTTGAATATTATTTCAATGAGACTGCTATAAATGTTTCTATGTTGATATAAAATAAATAATAATGAAATATTTGATTTGATACTATATTACTGCGTATATTTTAATATATGTATATTTCTTATTCGATGCTCGCGAGTTAATAGACGCCTCCTCCTCACATTAATTTAGATAATATATAAGAATATTATAGTATTAATGACGAAATGTTTCTATAACCTGTTAATTTTTCCATGTTACCTTAATTTATTTAAAGTTTTTTATTGGTGGAATTCCATTTTATATTATATTTTTGTTATTATTATTATTTAAAAAGCATGTCAAATGTTATGAATACAAGAAAAGTTTTATTAAAAATAAAATTATTTTAATATTATACTCAACAAAAAGTCTTATCTATATATCCTAAAACAAATTCTTAGTTAATCCAAATTATTGTTTTGTCCGTTATGATTTTTCATCCTAAATTATTTTAAAATGTAAGAATACATGCTTAGCAAAAAACAATGTGACGTTTGTAATACGCCATCTTGTTTTCGTATTTATCTGTCACGTCGTATAAAACATATTGAGTTATAATGAATTGGAAATAAAAATCGTATGGAGAAATAAAAAAGATACAATAATATTCAAAGCTTTTATTTAACAGACAATACATTAATAAAGTTATTGTACAAAATGTAACCTAATATCTCAGATATAACACATAAATATATCAAATGACAGTTCATAACCATTGACATATACTAATGGACATGCCTTAGAGATGAGAATTGTGGCACTCAGAAAGAAAGAGAGGAAACGAAGTTTCGGTCTATCTTTATCTCTCTCAAATTTAGAAGAAAGAGATAGTGCTAGACCAAAAGCATAGGCCATCTCTCTCACTCTTTTCAAACAAAAAAAATTACTGCAGATTATACGCGTACGGCATGTCCATTAGTATATGTCGATGTTCATAATCATAACCATTTACACAGTCACATGCACAGATCGCACAGACGCACGGATGGCACTGACGTTATTCAGGGTGACTGGTGAATTACTATCGATATTTGAGGACGTGATATTTGACGATCATATATGACAAAATAAAAATTAATATAACATAAATATTAATTAACTTCTGAGTAAAGTTAACCAAAAGTTATGTAATTAATTTCGCATCGTATGAACACCCTACAGATTAGGTATACACACACACGCACACACGCGTTTGGCGGCGTGGTGTTGTATCAGCTCGCCGCCGCACGCGTCCACACTTGGAACGTGTCAACACTTTATTTATTTATACGGAAATTTTGTCAAAAATTAAGTGCCTATTTTTTTTACATAATTCGAATGAGAATCATGTACCGAGTATTCTCCTTAAATCTTGATAGTAATTCACCAGTCACCCTGTATATTACCACGATAATAATTAATAATATTACAATAATTATTTTAAATAAAATACATTACATAAGTGATTGCAGGTTCATTTTTTTTAAATACAAATGTTTTCGGTTGTAATGAGTTAAATTCGGAACTCTTGTGCGAGTTCTCATAGCCTACTTAAAAACTATCAGTTTTCACTTAAATCATCGAATATTTTTCTATAACTGACGATTAATTAATAGTATACGATGAAACTATTATAGTCACAATACAAACAAGTACTAAAGTACTTGAAAATAATATTTTAGAGAGATTTTAATACATCAGACATACAATTTTTTCACAGCCATTCCGCTCATTCAACAACAAAATTTTTATCAACAAAAAAAATTCACTTGTGCAATTTTCCTATGTCTATGAATACAATTTTATAATAAAGTATTTGGGGAACAAAGTCATTGTTCTAGAATTTTCTAGAAATAAAATGTAATTTTAGTAGTATATTATTAAATCACATTTCGGTGTTTAAATTAAGTAATATTCATCATGGATGTGGACGGAAAGTCTCTGTTCCTATGAATTACAATCAAGTGAGAATTGCTATATAAATATTACCTAATAATGTTGCCCTACTTAATGATTGCATAAATAATATGTTCTTATTAAATTTTAGAATAATTTAAATGCCGTATTACACACACAAATTTTAAAAAATAATTACGTATACTTAATGAAAAGTCATTGTCTAATTATCATATTATAACAGTACAATAAAGAGCGTATAAACGCTCCTTATTGTAATGTAGACCGCCCTTAACAAGGCCGTCCTATAAAGAATCATTACCGTTAAAAATTCCACATTAAATTTATTTGTCACGTGTCACTGTCACAATTCATAAGTTCCTGTCGTAAAAGTCTATATGCTTAGCACAAGTTTACATCGACACACGACAAACGGACTAATTCACGTTTTTCATTTCATTATAGTACTTATGTAGATTATCGAATGAGAAAAGGGAGAAGTTTAGTATGTCGTGTGACGAAACAAATTTGTCTTAAAGCATAATAAAAATTATTGTCTACTTTAAAATAATTCACTAATAGATCAGTATGTTCTTCATTATTATGAATGGAAATTTATTAAGTTTGAAAATTTTCCGTAACTATATACAGTTGAGACATTCGGTTTAACGATTGGATAAATGACCAGAATCCAAACTTAATATTTAAATATAACTTAAACTAAATATCATATAATATAATGAACTCTAATATTCTATTAAATATTATTATCACATAGCACTGGCTGTGGATTCGAGGAACCGCCAATATTTCACATGTTGTACTTTTTAGGTACGTACGGTATTTACTTACTGAACAGTTCATAAGCCTTATCTATATGAACAAACGGCTTGATACTTCGAGCATCGTCCAAATACGCGTCAGTATTTGGTTACAATTTGATGTCATTGTTAACTGATTGATTTGTTGCCTCTTCTTGTTTTCTTGGGTCCTGGGAGCAAGTGTCCCACCATTGTTCCTCACCAGATGCCCACGCTACGAACACTAAATTCGTAACTATGAATACCGCCATAGTAATCCAAAACACCAATCTCCATTGCGTCAACGTGCTCTATAAGGAGAAAACGAAGATATGAGTAATTTTATTTCTAATATGGATAGTTTTTTAGAGGATTTAACTTTTATTGCTAATGTATTTCAAAATTCGGAAAACTTTACAGTCTACACTCATTACTTTTCTCAGTTTTTTTGTTTACAGTTTAAGTTTAAAAACCGCATAGTTAACTTAACACCAACCTTTCTATAGACTTGGACTAAAAAAACCTAGTTTTAGTCCGTCGAGTTATAGTAATAAAGTATCTTTAAACAATCAGCGCAATCAGCATGATAAACGCCTGATAGTCGCACTATATAACCATCATAACGTCAAATTATAACGTAAATAATGATGATGAGGAAATGCGTGGAAAACGTATTGTGTAATATCAATTAGTTCTAGTGGAACGCGTGTTTTATAATAAATAATAAATTGCATAATATATATATGGTATGAATATGAAAATCTCTTGTCAATACGTACATCAGGTGTCAATAATCCGACCAAGTAGGGAGCTATGATGCCAGTAATCGCTCCAATGCCGTTCACGATCGCCATAATGGTGCCAGCGTAGTTGTTGCTCAAGTCTAACGCATTCACTTTCATGCCGGGATAGAAAGCTCCCATCAGACCCATGGACGCGGTGAAGAGGATCACCACGGTGTCAGTGTTACAGCCTGAGTAGGAAGCTAGGATCATACAAATACCTGGGCCGACAGACGCTGAAACAAACATACACACATGACAACCAGACTCATAACGTGGACCATATTATAATAGTTAACCATTTAGATCTTCAACTGGTAATTTCCCAGCTTTAAGCTTTACGGTGAAGGAAAACATCGTGAGGAAACCTGGACTTATAGTTTCACAATTATAAGTTTGAAATCACCAACCCGTCTTGAGCAAGCGTGGTGATTAATGCTTAAATCTTCTCCATGTGAGAAAGAGGCCTTGCTCAGCAGTGGGCTTCTGATAGGCGGATGACAAGCCAGGGTCTGCCTTACATGTGAATAGTTTTGACATCAACCCTCTTTGGGAATGCATTAATCAGTGATATGTATATACTCTTAGAAAGTACATACATATGACTCGAAAAATCATATTGGTACTTGCCAGGATCGAAACCGCGCCCTCATGCATGAGGCGGGCCTTTTAACCACTAGGCCACCACTGACTTAGTTAATCATTTAGATATAAAGTAAAAATCAATCTATTTGAGCTGCTGTTAATCACTTACAAAAGTAACTTCTTCATACAATGTAACATTGATATATATGAGAATATAAGATGAAAGCTTTAAGAACGTGACCGCATTGATTACCAACAATCAGGATGAGAGATCTCTCAATCTTTAACGGCTCTAACAATATAGAACGAGAAATCACTTTCGCATCGCCAAGTGACCTTGCGGTGTCAATTAGTTTAATCTGCCGGAACAAATGACTATAGGACAAGCATTGCGACACACTTTCTAAGTCTTAATGATTTGTATTCAGTGTCCCGACCGATCTTAATGCAAGTGCTATGCAAAACATAAATTGCTCAAGATTTATGTATGCATGAGATCGAATGACTTAATGGTACTCTTAGTGATCTTTGAGCACAATGAAACCGGTGATTATTCTAGCTGTTCGTAGTACACATATACTTAATAGTGAAATTCAGAGTTTATATATACCTAGTATTTATTCTCTGTAAATATGAAATACTAAAGTCAAATGTAAACACTTTTTAAGTGTTGAAATTTTAGCCTTAATATATTTTGGAAATACCGATTTTTGGTAATAAAACATATATAAAAAATATCATCAATAGTAGTTAAATCTGAGTCCTGAGAGATGCATAGAGTTTTTATTTCATTTTTTCGTAATAGATCCTTGATATGTTAATAATTAATTGATCTGTGTTTTGTTCATAAGAAGTCATAATGGTTTTCAAAAGGATTTATTGCATTCATAAAGCAAGTGTTTTATTATTACAACAAATATTGAAATCTCGAAAATGACTTGAATTATTCGAACACCTTTGATATCATTTAACCCTTTTTCAACCACAATATCTTAGAGAGTCGTAGTAACTACTTATTGTGCTCGTGAATTCCCTAGCTACGTCTGGTGTACCGCAAAGGCAGAATTTAGAACAAATAATTTTATAATTTTTCCAAATGAAAACTAACTCCGACAATTATTTTTCAGTAAAAGTAACTTTTCTTTTGATTAGATCGATAGTAATATTATTGTATTTTAATGTATTCTAACTTATTTAACATTTGTTTTAATATTGTTTTTATGACAAATGATCTCTGTTATTTAATATTAGACAAATAGATTGATTGCTTACTTTTAACGACAGTGGGTATTGTGAATATTTTACAGATTTACTAAAAAAATAATAACGAAAAATGAGTTTTTATCTTTGCCTAACTAGCTTATATGCTGTTGCTTAATACAGAGATGGGAAAATTAGAGTTATAACAATAAAATATTTATCTCATGTATTAAGTAGAAAGTCGCTTTTTTCATCCTTCAAGCATTTTTAAAAAGAAAACATGTAATTCACTCAGGATGAAATTTTTATATACATTGAAAATTTCTACATTAATAAAAATACGTATATTATATTTCTGATTTAACTCAATTCAAATCAATATCAAAATTACTATAATAAAATTATATTAAAAAAACTATGTGAAGTTACCAAGAATTGTAATTTATCGAATAGGGAATTCATAATAATCGACTTACCAATAGTAGTGAAGGTCTTTCTAGCATTTGTAACAGTCATCCATTGCCTCTTGACTATTTTGTCACATATCCAACCGAAAGCGATGGAGCTTAGCCACATGACGGCGTATGGCAGCGCAGCCAGGGTACCCGTACGATGGATGTCAAACTTCAATACACCCGTCATATACTTGGGAAGGTCGGTCACCATTGTGAAGTAACCGTAGTCATGTCCGATCTAAATAATAATTTGTTAAAGTTGAGATAAAATCACAGTTGATGAAGTATGATCGGCCAAGTTTAGTAGAACTGTCAAGAAGAACACTAGGCTTGTTTAGTATTTAGTGCTACACCTATTGAAGTATTGGCCAGTACTTTTAATAAAAAAATTACAATATTTTTGATTTGTTTCAAGTAAATATTTATACCTAATTTGTATGGTGTGACAAACCTGTGCGCAAACTAATGCCCATAGTGGAACTGACATGAAAATAGCTTTCCATGGAATGGACGAGGGCTGAGTATTGTGATGTCTACCGAGAGCTTCTTCTAAATATTTCTTTTCCTTATCAGATATGTACGGATGGGATTCTGGATCATTGTAGCAAAGAAGAGCCTGAAACAAAACACAATATAATACTTGATATTTCACACAAATTGCTAGTTTTTTCTATATGTAATCTTCGTAACTTACCCATAAAATGAACCATAGTATCCCAATACTTCCAAACAAGTAGAAAACTGATTGCCACTCGCCAGTCTCCTTGATGACAAGTCCAGAGAAGTAAGTCCCAGCAATATTTCCTATTTGAGCTCCTCCAAATACTAACGATCCCATGCGTCCTCTCTCGGATACGGGAGACCATCGAGCTAACATGGCATTTAATGCGGGGAATGTTGTTCCCTAAAAGATTTACTTATATGTTTACTTACTACATTATATACTATATATATATTGACATAGTAGTCAATATAGCAATAAAATCTTATGTTTGATCATTATTCTTTGGGGTGAATTATAGTATTTACCTCTCCAAGTCCTTCAAGAACTCTAAGAATAATAAGTCCAGTGGCGCCTCCTAAATTCACAGCCCATGGTGTTAAGAGAGTAAACACAGCTGTGCTGAGAACTCCGAAGCCAAGGGAATATTTGCCTCCAAATCTCTCCGCCAGCATACCTCCAGGTAAATGAGTAACAATGTAACCATAGTAGAACGCGCTTAATATGATTCCTTGGGTCTCCTCATTCCAATTATACCCAGTGATCTCCTACAAAGAAGGCAGTCTTTCATAAACAAAAATTATCAAAACGATATAAATTCCCGACCGCGAAGTGTAAAAAATCCGTAGTAATTGTAAATCTGAACGCATTAAGTTTTGAAAGTCGAAGCCACAAATCGACCTTGACCTACAAAACCGCTGAAAATAATCTCTTGCGGATAAAAAACTCAGTACAACAATCTCTATGTTCAATTTATTTTCATCCGCGAATATAATTACACCGGATCATCCACCGCTGGTGTTACATCGAGTACTTAACGACAATTTGATTAGATTACCACATTTCTCATTACCGACACTAAGATGAGAAACTAAATTCAATTTATAATGCCAATGAAATAACTATTCTATATAACCGTTAAGTTACAAAATAGCTTGAAAATGTTCATATAATTTAAGTACTCGTAATCATTTTAACAAATCAAGCTGTGATTAAATACTTATAATTTTATTTTTATATACACTTTTACTTACAAGGTTGGACAGTTACTTAATGATGAATGTAATAATAATTAAATTGGCAAAACGAAGAGACCTATTGGAATATAAGTAGTTTCTTACCGTTGGGTCTTCAATAACTTCGTCCAACCCACCAGGGCATGAGCCGTCTTCGTAGGCTGGTGATGGTGAATGTCGCCTCACCATTTGTGTGATAGCTATGTTCAGACAGACACGCATGGTGTACGCGTTCGCCACAGCCAGGAAACCCATGATAGCCATCACCCATCGCTGTGGTATCACGAATACTAGAAAACGAATACACCATATATAAGAATACTAGACAACGAATATGCCATATAATCACTACACGCTTCATAACTCTTTAATTAATTACCCATATTTTAATGAGATCTACATACGAGTACTTTCAAGAGTATTCATTTAAATGTTACTAATATTTTTCGAATTATACTACGCGTAGTCGCGTACTTTATTATTCTAAAAACTACATACTCCAGACGTTTCGGTTACTTTCCAGCATTCGTGATAATGACAAGAATAAAGTAAGTAAGATCCGAAAAAAAAAATGGTTTCATTTACCCATTAGCGTCTATATTTATTGTATTGATCTTAAGTGAAACAAAAATTAACCGAAAACTATTTGAATATGTATAATGCGAGCTCAAACCGGATGTTAGTTCTGGTGCAACAAAAGGTTTTTATTTGTTTTTAGAAAATTTAGTTTTAACAAGCAATTAGTACTCGCATACTTTCATTTGTGTAAGCTTACGACTTACGAGAGAGTTTATTGTCTATACATACATTAAGAGTAGAACAATATTGTGCGAAGAAGGCATTTAACAGAAATCATTTAAAACTTCTAAATTGTAATTCACTTGTAAGAACATAACAAAATCAAGTACTTGTCATTTCAAAGCAATAAAATTGAACAATAAAATGGAAAGTTAGATTGAATGCATTAAGCCGGATTTATTGTTAATAGTACTGACATTAACTACTAATTTAGTTCCTATTATCCTGAAAGAAACATTTTTCCTCATACAGACGTTGTCACGTATTTTTATATATACGATTAAGTATGTAGCACCACACGTTATTATTCACACATTAAACTGTGAATCGCATACTTATAAGGAATCCCCTACATCCAAATCAAGTGAACACAGAAACTTCCTTAAATTTATATTTTAATGTCTTATTTGTTGTATTCCGTTTGCCAAACTCTATCCACATTTTGACAAACAAGACTTGCAGTTTCAATGTCTCGCAATTTTAAATGTAGACAATACGATTCTGTATGAAGATATTTGAATAGACATGGTTTTAAGACAAGACTTCGTCGTTAACTTGATTTAAAAGAAAAAGAAAATAAATGTATTAATATTATTGAAGTATTACATCGATTTTAGTTTGAATTTTATCCAAAAAAAAATATATATATAAGTTTTAAGTAATATTACAATTGAAGAGTATATTACACCAGTGTTGCCCTTCTAAGTGATAAAAAAGTTATTTTGATATAAATCTAAGAGTTGTTATATTTTAAAGGCCATTTGGGTTATTGAAAATACAAATGTTACAACAAAGCTAGAACCTAAGCGGTCCATCTAATAGAATCGTGTACAAAAATATAAAACGAATTGTATGATATATCCGTTTCCTATTTTAGTAAATTAAAAAAATATATATATAAAAACGTTTTAAATATTAACATTCAAGTTCAAATGCGTTATAAATTTATAATGTTTTATGATGAATCATAAAGAAGGTTTTGCTTAAAATGTAACACAGAATACATAATGTAACTGTGGCCTTAAACTTGCCGGCTGTTGCCGGTTGCGGTCGTGCGAATTATTGAAATGTCGAAAGAATTCTGTTTATTTTTTTGTAAAAATATTCAAACTCATCCAAAGTCTTCATTGAACTGCTTCAATTATATATTTCTTACAAAAAAAAACGAAAATATAAATGTCACTAAAGGGAATATACAATGTGCATTATTATGATATGCACCGAATTAGAACGTTCTATATTCTTATTTTTATGTAACTGATACGGAAAGGAATCATTTGTAAGGAATTTACCGTATAGAAAAATTATTATAAACTTTTTATTAATACGTTAACATTTATATACGCAATATTATTCGTTTTTTTTAAGTGTGTAAGTTGCATCATAAAATGGACGATGATAATGACTTGAGACGTAAATGTGATATTTTATTGAAAAATTGCATTTAATTTTACAGGATTAAGGTCTAATATGCAATGATAGGATCTGATAAGTACAATATAAATGCAAACGTAAGAAAATATTTTATTTAAAAAAGTATAAAGAATAAGTGTTGTCTATATATATTATTTAAGATATAGTATTATTTTACTATAAAACTACTAAAGTAACTATAAAGTTGTTTTGTAGTATTATTAATCCGAAAGATGTAATTAGTTTTAATTGCATTACAAATTGAAATCGTATTTTTCATTAATATGGTGATTTTGTGATTTAATGACTTATTGCCTCTATCGTCAATAATGAACGTTCAAAAATATATTTTTTATTATAATTTTTTTACTGTAACATTTATAGATATATGGTTTTTCTTTGTAAATAATTAAAATATTCATGTTCCATAAAATTCTAGATATTTAACACAAATAACAATTTAATAGAAATGAATCAATGGAATTGTATTGAATAATCGCGTCATTTTTATTATCTGGTAATATTCTGTCAAGTGTTCCGTGTCAGTGGTGTTTGAGTTTCAAGTCACTTTAATGAAATATTAGATAAATGTTTCTTAATTTATAAAGTCCTTTTTACTTATAAAGGGATATTTATTAATTCAATAAAGATCGCAATATAAATTAAATATTCTTTTTTTTAAATCTTTTACTAGCGGAAAATCCTATAATCCTGATTAGATTTGAGACTATTCATTAATTTCTTTCCTCATCTTTTTTTATATAGAAATTGTTAAAAAACTAGTATGTAACTTAAATTTTAATTAGATATATATTGATAAAGTCCTTCAGTAGTTGTCTTTCAAAAAGACAATAAGGAACTACATTTACGTTAACCCACAAATTTTAAATTGTTACATGGCAACATTTAATTCTAAATATCTTTATTGATGGTATAATATTGGAATTAAATACGTAACTAATGGTAAAAAGTCATAACATCACGATTACAATTCAGTATTAAAACTCCATTACGTAAAAACACAATAAACCAAATATTTTTCTCATCACTTAAGAGACATAGTTTCGAATATAACTTTCGCAAATATGTAATAGTAATATCTGTTCTAAATTAACCAATAGTAATAATTTAGTTCGATGTCACAAAAGTTGTATTTTTTTGTATATTTCCGCTCGGTCGCCGGTTCAGCATACAAAGAGACCGCGCCCGTTAGCCGGCCAAATGAATTGCAGCGCGTCAGGATCGACGGTGAATAAAAACTAGATGTATGGTGAAACTGGACGTTCCTGATCTTACCTGAATTGGTATGGAATTGTGAAACTCGTTAGAACTGACCGTTTTTATGATGGTTTTCAACGAACTACATCACATTCCTTGAGAATAGACTGGCACTTGGCAGACAGACTGGCGGGAACGTTTGACAGTATTATTTATTGCCATAAAATTATATTTTTATTTAAAATTACGTTACTTATATGAATATTATTCAAAATTTACCTAATAATTATGATATACAATGTTTAAATAGATAATTTATTATTTTAGTATTAAAATAATTGGCTACTTTATTAAATAAATATCAAGTACATCTAATAGTTTAAAAAATTTAAAGCCGATTTGGTTATTTTAATCAGGCATGGTAGCTGCATTTTAGGACTATTACAGGTACATAATTACAGTGATATTACATTATAAAATTGAATATAAATTTAATCTTATGCTGACTTTAGCTTTATTTAAATTTCATAAAAAACGAACAGTTTTTCTAAAACCTGAAATAAATTTTGATTGATTTTCCAGAAATTACTTCATTGAGAACAAAATTATTCCATTTTTATTAAGGAAATACTTACGTATTATAGAATCTTTTCCGGAGTTAAAGTATTGATGTATTCAAAGAATTTATGACACCTGTTTATAACGATATAACAATTCATAACGAGGTATAAAATACCATGCAAGACCTTCGATATACTTACTCTATAAATTATAACTCCTTAAATATTTATATTCTAATCGTAAAAGTGTATTTAAGTTTTTTTAAAGTATGTTAATTATAATTATATAATTACAAGCTAGCCTGAATTGTATTTTTAATCTGTCAAGTTGTCAGTAGCTGCGGCCCGCGCGCAATTTGGAGGGAACGCTAACCTGTCAGTGAATGTAATAAGAAACGAATTTAAATTGTCTGGGACATATATTTGTGTGTGCAGTGTGCAGTGTTTAATCATGTCGTACAAGCATCTAAGTTGCAGGGATCTAGGCAGGTCCCTTTCACCTTAATGCATAAATCACTGGCAAAGACAATTTCACGTAAATGAAAGTTTTAATCCTGTGTCACAATTTAAATTGTAGTAAAGAAATAATGCATTCCATTTAACATATAGATTGGATATTATGGAAACATACTCTATGTTAACCCGTTAATGTTGTGATTGCTTTTAAATAATATAATAGAATGTAAATAAAACTGTTTGCACATACTAAAAGACTTGAGAATTATCGACACTAGGCTCATAGCAACATACGATATGCAAATAATTTGCCAAAAAATAACGGTACTGAAGTAGATCTATTATTCTTTTGTTTCTGACGTATTGTTACTGTATATAGATATATCAAAAGACAAAAGTATTGTCACATTTGTTTAATATTTTAACATTTATTTTTCGTTCGTATTTGAATTGGCACGGAACAACATATTTTGAATTTACCTGTACTGTATAAGACTAGTATTGTCTTGTAAATGTTTTGTTCAGCTCTTTGAAGTATGTACAATTGTTTGTTCATTAATAATAATATGTTCCAATATATCTATTTCTTTTTTTTTACCTTTAAAAACACGTAAGTATTTCCAGCCTGTATCATCTCTATGTATATTTAATCAAATAAAAAAAGTTTAAATAAAAAAAAAACTGTTCCCGTATATGGCTTTTGATTAAATTAATGGTTATTTATATTAAAAAAAAAAACATATAAAACCTACATATTATTAATGTTCCAATCCACGTGAACACGCCTTCGTCCCTGTTTTAAGTTTATTACCTACGTTAAAGGTTCGTGTAAATGGTAATCAATGCTCTGGAATGAGGCTAGATCCTAAGATTGGAAGTAACTGAAACCGACAACTTTCGTAACTTGGCCTTCCTCTGTTTTTATATGAATTATCCATAGACTAGTTTCTATTCGCGACCTCGCGATAAGATGCTACCGAGTACCGACTTTTAAGAAAACGGAAATCGATTTTTTCTTTAAATACTCTCTATATGTATTAATTTTTATATCGTATGCATTACCAAGGAGGTTTCAATTCATCGTTGTTTTTTTAATGCATTATTTTTCATTTAATTAGTTCTATTTTCAAATTGTGATAGCTCTTTTGACAAAAGACCTTACGAATAAACATATCCGAAAATCGAAATCTCAGTATATGAAAAATAAAAATTATTCGGAATTACATTCATTTTTATTATTATAGTTTAAGCTTTGGATTTAATTAAATAATAATAATAATCCTGGTTATAAGTTAATTACAAAAAGTTTTAAGTATAATTAGTTTGTGAGTTGTAACGATGCGAAACCAATTAAACAATCGTTTCAATTGTAACAAAGACTTAAATTCGAGTGATTAAAACCATTCTAATTATATATTCATGTCTTATATTTTAATCCACAAAATTATTCATTATGGAGAAATTTCTATTTCTATATATTCCTGTTTTTTTAATTATTTCAATCGTACTTTATAACAATGCGGTAAAATTTTTCAAACATTAGCAATATTAAATACGTTTTATATAAACACAAATAACAAATTTAATTTTAAGTTTAATGTAACAAATAATTCACTAATATAAATAAAGTCTTAAAGGCTATTTGATAGAATGAACGTAATAAAATTATTTATTAATTGAATTAAAATAACAACATGCAATCATATAACAGCTTAAGTGATATTATTTAATGGTGCATGCATAAATAAATTGCATAACAATGCAATGATTTGCATATAAATATTAAAACATAAAACAAATATAATTTCACACAAACTTATACAGCCGAAAATTAAAAGCTGAATAATATATTCCTATGCTGAGTTCGGAAAATTGAAAAAAAAAAAAACAAAATGTCATTTTAATTATACTAGCGACATAATGAGAGATAATATGTAATTGAAACTCACATTTCGATAGAAGCAACTTCCAACCGGTCAACATTTTTGAACACAATCACTATTACGTTCCGAGCTTTTTTTTGTAACGCGCGTTTTGTACCGTCGCGCGCGCAGTACGAACGTCGAACAGTTAATACGGCGGCCGCGGCGCAAACAACCACCTTTATACCTTCACCGCGAACATACCAGGATAATATTGAAAACATTATTAAGTAGCCCACATATTACGTCACTGACACACTTCCGGGCCCATAACCCGTTCTTATGACCAAATCGGTCAAAGTCATATCAATAATGCAAAACAGTTTTTACTATCATATGTTACATAGATAATATTAATGCAATAAAAAAAGAATCGCGTAATAAATACTTTTTACACAGGGAACTTCTTTGAGACTTTTTTTATTAATAAAAAAAAAATAGATAATCAGTAAGTGTAGTAAGTGTATTAGCCACAACTATCCCACAGTATTGTTAGACCGTTTAAATGCTTATGAAATCATATCAAAGTAAACCTATTGTTATATTAGACTTATTGAAAAACACATTTCATTAACACAGTGTAAACACTATACGCTGTGTAAATATAAGCATTACATGGCTTTGAATTATTAATATGGTTTTAAAACGTGCCAGTAATCAAATTATAATTTCTTCTATATATATAATTTAATCAAGTTTTGCATCTTCATAATAAATCTATGGTTTTACAGTTCAATTATGAATCATCACAAATGATCTTCTTCTACCTGGCAATTTCCCAGCTTTAGCCAGGTTCTGCCTTACATGTTGTGAATAGTTTTGGCTAATTGTTTTTACGACCGGCCTGCCTGCTTGACATCAACCCTCTTTGGGAATAATAATATTAAAGTTTATCTTATTGGAAACTAAAAAAGGTCTTATTCCAACTGTAAGAATACAATTAATTTATTTTATTTTATTGAATTTTCTATGCTTTCTTCCTTCACATAAAAAACAATAGATTAAAGTAAAACTAAAGTGTGTTAAACACAAAACTATTTCACTGAAGCAATCCTCCGAGCATTGTTTATTAATTCATTATTCATCACGTGTTAGTTAAGGATCCTGCTTAGCTTAGAAGAATTAAATATATTATAAAAATTATATCTTATTTTGAATAATGGCGGTAGAACCGCAATGTCACGTAAGAATGACAGCTAGTTGTCAAAACGATGGTTTTTTTTTACTAAAACCGTTACACGACCGAAGAATGTTTGAAATTATTATTTTATTGTTATGCTTTTTATGTCATTATTATATTTTTACTATTTCATTATTCACGTATTAGAATTAGTATTGAAAATTAGAAACATAAAAGTACTTCAGAATAATTAAAACATTCGTAGAAGGGATTAATTTTCTAATATTATCTAATTATCTAACTCGTCTATTAAAAAATATCTCTTTATATTGAACAATTAATTTATTAATTTATATGAAATATAATCATTATAAGGTGTAATAAAGACGTTACATAAATGACACTGGTTTTTCATTAAGCCTGATGTAAAAATCAGTATACACCTTCACCACAAGTACACGTGTATATAAAAATCTATGTTTATTGATAACTTCGCTGTTTTAATATTTTATTTTGCATTTTCCCTACTGACTTACTAACAGACACTTTCATCCCATCTGCTTGTGGTCACGTGCTACAAAGTAATTGAAACATGAGGAAAAAATTAAAATAAATAAATAAATTTGCGTAATGATACCCGAGAAACATAGTTTGAATTGAAACAAGTAAATTTTACGATTTTTATAATAAATCTTGCATACTATACTATCAACGCTAGTTTGTGAGTGACTCGCTTGAAATTTTGTGTTAGACTGCAGGCTTGTGTTAAGGATTTACAGATTAAAAGTACTCAGTCGTAATCTTATAAATTATTGTATATTCTTTTACAACATTATTGCTTTTTAATCGTCAACAAGATTCCTCATATATAATATATTTACATAAATCAAAGTTAAATTGCTAGAAAGAGACATTTAGGAATTCTAATGAAGTGAGCTCTTACATACCTTTGCCATAGTTAAATTACTTTAAGGTATTTAGATTGTACTTGAAAAACCAAATTATAATTATTAGTTATGTATAAAATGTACATATAATCGTCTTTATTGAACCGTGTTACCAGTGCATATTCTACTTATCTATATTTTAAATAAATATATTAATAAATAAATACTTTTTCGATGGTATCAATATTTCTACCTTTACAATTATCTCAATATTCAAGCTTCTATATCTGATATACTAATTTTCAAAACCTACTCATAATGATAATTATCTCTAAAGTAAGAATTTACTAAATTTTCATGTCAGGGCTGCTACCGAAGATATTGAAATATGCGCCTTTAATTTTACATTACTTTTTATCTTCAATAATTTCGTTTCGTTTCGTTTTAAGAGTTTGATGACCCTCTGTTCACGTAGCGTCAAATTTGGGTTCCGAGAGAAATAAATAATGTTAAGGAAAATAAAAGAAAAGATTAACATGGCAGCCTTATTCATTTTCCGTCTCATGGAACTAAATGATATTAATAGAAAGTTTTATCAAAATCTGCTCTTCAAAATTTTATTTCAAAGATTAACGAAAATTCATATATTTGAACGAACATTCGCATTTACAATATCAAATGAAAATACTAGAATTTCTACAAAATAGATGTAAATATATTCAATTCTGTGGCGTATTAAGTACATAGATTAGTAAAATTTTTCCTCATCACTACACCCAGATAATTTTTTCTTCATACGACAGTTTTTTTATCAACAACTCAACAAACATCACTTATAATTCACATCAATGTATTGGTAGCCTTGACTTAAAAATATGACGAGTGCCATCACATTATTATGGCAATGGAATTATACTGTTTAACTAGAACAAATATTTTTACAGAATTCATATATTTTGAGAGTTCTTACGTCATAATTAGTATACATTTATGTCAGTGGTGGCCTAGTGGCTAAAAGCATGAGGGCACGGGTTCGATCCTGGTAAGTACCACTGTGATTTTTCCGAGTCATATGTACTTTCTACGCGTATTTAGACAGCACTGATTAATGCATTCCCAAAGAGGGTTCATGTCAGGCAAGCGACCGGTCGTAAAAAACAATTAACCAAAACTATGCACAACATAGAAGACAGACGCTGGCTAAAGCTGGGAAATTGCCAGGAAGAAGAAGAATTAATATACATTTAACATAGGTAACGTATTAATTAATGTATACAGTTGAAAATGTTTTGATAATATGGAAAAAAGTTTATAAAGAAAACGTGGTATGTAAAAGTTTTTCAACACAGTAATGACACTCGTTTTATACTAATATTATAATTATGAGACATAGTTATTTTTGTATTTGGTAGTGTAGTGTGTAAGTGGAATACTATTTGTTTAATAAATCGAGTTTAATAGAAGATTTCAAAATAAAACTTCTCAAAGCCTTGTTAAAATTCCGACCTCTATGTGTTTATTACCCGCGACTTCGCCCGCGTGGCTTATAAAAGAGAAATTAATATTATACATTTAGTTATAGGTACTTAAATTATATTATATATATATATATATATATATATATATATATATATATATGCAAAGGCTTCTTCTCACATGGAGATGGTTTGAGCATTAATCACCACGCTTGCTCAAGACGGGTTGGTGATTTCAAACTTATAATTGTGAAATTATAAGTCCAGGTTTCCTCATGATGTTTTCTTTCACCGTCTGTCAGTGGTGTCTAAATACTCTTAGAAAGTACATGACTTGGAAAAATCACGTATACATAAAATTATTCCGATATTTTATCTAGGTCACTGCAAAGTTTCATCAAAATCCGTCTCAGTAAATTCCGAATAAATTACCAACAAACATTATTTATAACTTTACTAGTACTTATACCAACAAAGGGTCTACGCCCGAAGACAAATATTTTTATACATTACAATTATATAAATCATTGTTCAGTGTTAGTTACATAAATCATCGCTTTATACTGTATTGATATAATAACTTATTTAAAATATTTCTAATTAAATATTTGATATTAATTAGCTTTGTCACGCGGCTTCGTCTTCTCATTATTTAATATCTAAATTGGCTAATATTTTGAATTGTTTTTGGTAATATGTCCAAAAAGGATTAAAGGTAAAACACAAAATTGTTTTTGATTTACACTAGGTACACATTTTCAAATACCAAAGAAGTTGCAAACTTTTTTTTAAATATATTCATAAAAAACAAAGAAGTTTGTTGTTATTTTTTCTATTTAATTTAGGAATATTATTAAATCATAGATCTCGTCATACGCCAATTGAACTTAATAAAAATGTTTGCGTGTCAAATGTGCTCTGGATACGAAATTTGACAGTCATTGACGCACGTATGTCAGTTCGCGTACATACATATATTCATAGAAACTAGTACGTCAAATGCCAATTGTAAAATTACATAAAATACTTCAACTATCATTGACTAGATTGGATTCGGTTTAATATAAATACTTCCCTGATTTCAACGCTATATTTTCTATTAAAACATCTTCATATGTATAACTGTGTATAGATAGAAGTAGCTATTCAATTATCTTTTTGAAATCTTTGTGACTCATTCAATATTCAATTTTGCAGAACATAAAAGATTTTTTTGAACATAAAAGATTTCTAAAATCAATAGTCGTATTCTTTTTTCAGAAACATAATTACTTTTCATCTATATTAGGAACTCTTTTGTGTGATGTATAATGTACTCTAAATTCAAGGTTCGTGTAACGTGTTTAACTTAATTTGGCGAAAAATCTCATATAGATTTCGTTTCTCGAAGTCTCTTAATGTAATAGCGTCACGTATTAAGTGGAGGAAGTGTTTTAAGGAAGCTGGATAAACTGCGGGTCGTCTTAAGGTTGATAAGTAAGTCTAATAGATGTCGTCAATGCTAGAATATTTGACGTCCATCGACTTTACGACTTCCTATTGTCTTACAATCTAGTTTTGTCTAGTATGAGGAGGAAAAAGTTATTATTTACGCTTACCATTCGTATGAATCGTAACTACAAACGCCGCGTATTTAGTTTCTGATCAGTAACGTGTTTTATTATTGACTGATAAGTCTTCGTTTATGTGACAAAACGATTTATTTGTCAGCAGACTTAATTATTACTTCACTAACTCTATTA